AAATGGGTATTCAAAACCAAACTCAATGAACGTGGTCAGATAGAGAAGTATAAAGCCAGATTAGTGGCCAAAGGCTATGCCCAAAAATACGGAATCAACTATACAGAAGTATTTGCTCCTGTTGCTAGGCTTAACACAGTAAGAATTTTGCTAGTTGTGGCAGCTGAAAGTGAATGGGAAGTATTTCAACTCGATGTCAAAAGTGCGTTCCTACATGGTGAACTTCAAGAAGAGGTGTACGTTCAACAACCTGTTGGCTTTATCAAGAAAGGGAAAGAAGACCACGTATACAGACTTAGGAAAGCTCTATATGGGCTTAAACAAGCTCCACGAGCATGGTACAGTAAGATAGAAGCCTACTTTGTCAAAGAAAAGTTTGAACGATGATCTAGTGAATACACCTTGTTCACGAAAAGGATTCATGGTAATATTTTAATAGTTAGTCTCTATGTTGATGATTTAATCTTTACTGGAAATAGCAAAGATATATGTGAATAGTTCAAAAACTCAATGCAGCTGGAGTTTGACATGACCGACTTGGGTAAAATGAGATATTTTCTGGGAATAGAAGTAATACAAAATGAGGCAGGAATTTTCATTTGTCAAAGATGGTATGCACGTGAGGTACTAGCTCGGTTCAACATGATGGACAACAACTTTGTTCGAAATCCCATTGTACCAGGGACTATATTTTCTAAAGATGATGAAGGAGCTCCTATAGATGCTGCAAAGTTTAAACAAGCCATTGGCAGCCTTATGTACTTGACAGTCACACGGCCAGACCTAATGTTTGGAGTAAGTCTACTCAGCAGATACATGGCTAATCCAAAGGAGTCACATTGGGCTGCAATAAAATGAATCTTCAGGTATCTAAAAGGCACCATTGAGTACGACCTTTTTTATCAAAAAGGAAAGAATATGAGTCTCATAGCCTACAGTGACAGTAACTATGCAGGTGACTTAGATGATAGAAAAAGCACCTCTGGTTCAGTATTTATGATGGGAACTACAACTGTATCATGGGCTTTAAAAAAATCAGCCTGTAGTAAGTTTATCTACTACTGAGGCTGAATATATTGCTGCAGCATTTTGTGCTTGTCAATGCATTTGGCTTAGAAGAATTTTGGAGCATCTTGGGTTAGAAGAAAAGAAAGCCACTGATATCTTGTGTGACAACAACTCTACAATTCAATTATCCAAGAATATTGTCTTTCATGGAAGAAGTAAGCACATTGCAGTGAGATTTCACTTCCTCAGAGATTTGGTAAATGATCACGTGGTTCAATTGAAATACTGCAATACTCATGAACAAGTGGCTGATATAATCACGAAGGCTGTGAAACTTGAACAATTTGAGAAGCTTCAACAAATGCTGGGAGTAGTGGATGTTACTGCAGTAAGCTAGAGCTTAAGGGAGGGATTGTTAGTTTTCTTTTGGCATATTCTAAATAAACCCCTATTTCTTAGGGTTGAACTAGTCTGTCAGTTAACTATTCTTTAGGTGTGCGTGACCTATTTTGTAGCCATGCACGTAATTTTAGTTTCAACTTCCTCGTGATGTAAAGGCTTATAAAAGTCGTTCTATTCCAATTTTTAAATTGAAGCTTTTGGTCAAGTGTTAAGTACTCGAACCAACAGTATCAGCAACAGAGTGGCTGGAAAAAACAAAAAATATTATACCTATTGTAGTAGATGCATAAAGAAGACACATTATGCTTTATGAGAAACTTATGTTCAGAAAGAATTACCTTATTTGTGAATCATAGATTGCAGTGCAATGTTCAAAGTTGACTTCGTTTTTTACCTTTTCCAAAATATCACACAAAATTATTCCTGCAATTTATAACCAGTAACTTATTTTAGTATTTTGGTCATGCTATTACTATATTTTGTTACTCTTTTTGGTTGGATGAGTTTATGCAGGTATGTTGCAGAAAAAAAGTAATTATTATTGGAGAAAAGTACAATTGCTTTATAAAAATAAGTCAATAAGCTTACACTAATATAGTGACACTTTTTGAGATTATAATTATGCTTTAATAGTAAATAGACAAAATATACTAGAAGACCAAATACTCTTTAGTGCATTCCTCATCTCTGTATATCTTATTCTCTTTGATACTCATCTTTTATCACTTTGTATAGCAAAATTATAGATTTTAAAGTAATAGAACCAAATGATTCAAAACAGGCAAGAACAAGAAAGAAGTTCATTCTGCAACAAAAGTTGGCTACTAGAAATGTTCATATGATAGGTTTGATATTATTATGTTTTGCATTTCATCTTTGTTTATTCCAGATTTTATCAATTGTATCACTGATGATTATTTTGGTTTTGAAATATCAGATGAGAATAAGTTTAAACACCTGCACAAAAAAAAGAGGAAAGTCAATGTCATTCACAACTTTTTCAGTCTTGAACCTTGCAATATAGGTTTAACAAAGTTTTCTTTTATGTAGTTGGAAATTTTTTTGTTTAGCTGAATTGAATCTGCATTATTAATCTTCTTTTTTTCTAATTCACATTACAATGTGATAACACATAATGTTAGATGAGAATCAAATGAGCATTATTTTTTATGGAAATGTAAGTAAGAACCCTCACATTACAAATGCAAATATTATAGTTATATCTTTGTACATATTCTTATTTACCACTCTAATGTTGCATCCTATATTAAAATTTATTCAACAGTTGACAATTGTACAAGTTACAGTAGTAGTGGAACACTTCAAAGTAGAAATAGGAAATCATTATCGAATTTTTATTCGGTCAATTGTCTTAATTATATAATTAATATGTAATTTAAACAATATATTAATAGTAATTATAAATTTTTACTGATTATTATTTCAGATCATAATCAAATCAACTGTAGCGACAAAATTGTAAGGAAGACCGTTCTTAATGAAAATTTAACATATCACCATTCTCACAATAAAGGTAAAGTATTATTCTTATATTGTTGTTTTTTGTTTACTACTTTCAATGTGTTTTATGATGTTCAAATTTATACATCATAGTGGTACATTGGGAAGTGGAAGGAGGAAACCATTATCAGAAACATGGACAAATTGCAAAGTTCTAAAGCTTACAGAGAATATGAGGTTAAATACTTCAAAAACAAATAATAGTGCAAAAAATATAAAAAAATTTGCTGATTGGATATTAAAGATTGGAGATAGAGATATGTCTTTGAATGAAAATGGTGAAGAATATATTAACATACCCAAAGATCTTTTAATTGAAGGCAATGGAACATCTTTACTTTCATTAGTTAATTTAGTCTATCCTCATTTTGTGCATAACATGATGTATGCTGGTAATTTTGATGATGGAACCATACTTTGTCCTATGCAGTTGAGGAAGTTAATAAATTTATTTTATCTTTGATTCCTGGTGAAGAAAAAATATATTTGAGTTCTAATACACCATGTCAATTAGATGAGGATCAGGAAATGCAAGGTGAATGATTTACATATGAATTTCTTAATGACATTAAATGTTCAGGTATTCCAACTCATCGACTTAGATTAAAAGTTGGTGTTCGCGTAATGTTGTTGAGAAACATTGATCAAACAAATGCGTTATGTAACGAAACAAGATTGTAAGTGAATGATTTGGGAAAAAAAATTATCATTTCAGCTACTGTAATTGCTGGAAAAAAAAAATTAGAGATAAAATCTTTATACCAATAATGAATTTGATTCCTTCTGATCCTGAATTTCCTTTCAAGTTTCAAAGAAGATAATTTCCATTATCATTGTGTTTTGCAATGACAATCAATAAGAGTCAAGACCAATCACTCTCTAAAGTTGGACTTTATCTTCCGCGTCCAATATTCACTCATTGTCAGTTCTATGTGGCAATTTCTAGAGTTGAAACAATATTCACTCATGGTCAGTTCTATGTGGCAATTTCTAGAGTTAAAACAAAGAAATGTCTGAAAATACTTATATTGAATGAAGAAGAAAATGTAGTAACATGTACTAAAAATGTAGTATACGAAGAAATATTTTAAAACCTCTAAATACGTGCAAGTACACTATTATACAAAAAAAGTACATGTTTATTTCATTTATTTGTTATAATTTTTTAAAACTATTTACTCTATGAAAATGCATATTTATGATGTTTATTATTGTTTTAAAATTATACTCTTTCAATGATAAAAAAATTATACAATTGATAAGTTTTATTGACAATTATATAACTATCTACAAATTATATATTTTATCATTACTTATTCTTTTTCTTCTTTTATTATTTAATTGTGTAATATGTATTGTACAAAATAAATTTACAATATTCCTTATTAGATTTATCTTTTTTATGCAATATATCAAATTTATAAATTATTATACTCATTTATTTTGGTTTGTTATTATTGTATATTATATAAATGTGTTACATTGTAATGCTTATGCCGTTATAGAAATCAATCAAGTATTTTTTAATTTTGTATGATATAATTTTATCGATTATATTTTATATTTATTGTAAGTTTTCTTTTTATACAATCTTTTTTAATATAACTTTTTTATTTAAAAATTTTACAAATTGAAGATCATTTATAACTTTTTTTTCTTATTAATACAAATTATTAATATTAAAATATTATTTATTATTAATATAAAATTTTAAAAAATCCCGTGCGTTGCACGGGTTATGATACTAGTTATTCACATATGTGGCTAACTAAATCCTTTTATGAAAACCATATGCTTCTAGAAGATGGTTGGGCGTGGAATTTTAATTAAGTAAAGTCAAAATTGAAAACCCTAAAAATGAAATTTCCCAAATCTGATTGGAATCCTGTGCCCTAACTCACATCGCACTTATCGGACTATCCACTCACGACGGTTCCGGAGTCCTCTGTTCATCGTGTCTATACGCCCAGAGGCTGAGCCACTGCATTGATTCATCTCGAGAGCGAAGGAAAAAGAGAGAAAAACTGGGGAAGCGAAAGAGAGCAAAAGGGAAAGGAAGAGTACGAGAGATGGAGAGTTCGGGGTTGGGTGCTGTGGATTGCGACGTTGGATCGATTGTGTGGGTTCGAAGAAGGAATGGTTCGTGGTGGCCGGGTCAAATACTTGGCCCCGATCACCTTTCTGCTTCTCATCTCACCTCACCTCGTTCAGGAACTCCCGTTAAGCTTCTCGGAAGGGAAGATGCGAGCATGTAATAGTCTTTTTCCTTTTATTATGTTATACTATTTATTATTTATTGGAACTCGATGTTCATATCTGGTTTCAATTTGCTTCAAGCTTTTTTACTATAGTGCTGCTTAGTTTAGTTTAGACACTGATGACAATTAAGTCAATATCTGTTCTGCTGAAGTTTATGTGATTGTGAGTATATGCATACGCTATGCTTGTTGAATGGTTTCTAAGAGTTAGAAAGTTATCCATATGTGTTTTTGTGACATCCAATGTGCTGTTGTATCAATTGTCATTGGTATTTGTATTTTATTTTTTTGATTTCCCTCCTGTGGGTTGGTGTTGTTTTAAACAGAGATTGGTACAATTTGGAGAAATCCAAGCGTGTGAAGACATTCAGGTGCGGTGAGTTTGATGGATGTATTGAAAGGGCGGAGTCTGCCCAGGGTATGCCGTTAAAGAAAAGAGAGAAATATGCACGCAGAGAAGATGCTATTCTTCATGCTCTTGAACTTGAGAGGCAAATGTTAAAGAAGCAAGAAAAAATAGGTGTTACTTCTTACTAGACCGATTTTAGATTATGTAATATATACTGTTAAGAAAGGCATAGACATGTATCCAGAACCAGAAACATTAAAAAGAAAAAGTCACATGCTACATCTTATAAAGAGGATTGGGCTTAAAATTTCCTTGAGAGATCAACTCTCATTCTCTGATGATATAATGTTAATTAGAAACTAATAGCTGAGTATAGCGTTCTGATGCAAACCTGTGATGGGCCTTTGCATAGGAAGTTCAGTTCTAGCCAATGGTAAAACTATTTTAGATAAAACAAATAGTATATGTTGGTGGAGGGAGAGATATTTAATAAAGCGGGTAATTTTTTGTTTTCAGGACTGGAGCAAGTAGGTGTTGCACACCGATCAAAGAGGAGCAAATGTGTTTATTTTCCAGCGGAGTCTAGTGATTCTCTGGATTATAAGGATATTCCTGCCAATGTTGCAATGTCGGCTTCCCAACATGGAGGGGAGTATGCTTATTGCAGTTCTTTGGCTGATGAGAGTGAATCTGCTTTTATGGATGTTGTTGAATCTGATCCTTTTGAAACTGATTCTGCTAATGTGGATTCAGATTCCTCTGAAATGGAACTTGACAAGGATGACGAGATGACTACACTTTCAGGTATATTGTGTGCTGTGCAGTTGATATGAAATAATATTTAGATATCCCAGTGTTTTCTCTTTGAAGTTTAACCAACTGGTGAAGATGTTCTGTTTTGCTTACGATTTCTTCTAGGAAAATTGGTATCCCCTTCCATTCTTAAGTAAAGAAAAGAAGGATTATAGATAGAGAAACTAAGTATGGGTAAAGAAATATAGTAAAAACGTGTTAGCTCAGTCAAGCAATCCAGTGCTCCAGCCCATTTGAATACATGAGCGAGGAACTGCCTTAAAAAGTTATGACATTATTTATTGTCAATTATGCATTAAAGTTAACCTAATTATATATGTCAGATTGGAAGTCAACATGGTTTCTGTTATGTTGTGGTACTACCTTCCTGTTTCACAGTGCTACAGAGAGAGAGAGAGAGAGAGAAGATAACTTTTTTATGTGAATTTCAGCGACTCTAACTTTAGTGGTAGAATTTTTTATTAAATCCTTTTTAAGTTTGTCTGTAATACCTGTTTCTTGTTCCTCTCATTTTTAACCATTATTCAGCATGCCTTACATATGGATTGTCATTTTTTTTACTTCCTGCAAATATTGCTGTCTTGAACTTGTTCTTGGAATTTTGTGTTAGAATGTTGGTTTAAGTTGTATTTCAAATATTCTTTTCACTCTTCTGATGTATTTGTTACCACAGAAACTGGTCGTGATACTGAAGAACAAGAAAGCACTAGCAGTGAGGAACTTGATGAGTTGACAATGTCTAGTGACATGCCTCACCTTTATCTTCGTGAGCATATATCATGTAATGAAGCGGTATCCAAATGGAAGTTAAAAGGAAAAAGGAATAATCGTAATCTTGTGAAAAGATCTGTTGGTGCTGCTGATGGGAAAGGAGTTGCTTTATATGGAGCAGATGTTGAAGGACTGAGAAGTCGTTTAAATCACAAGAGATTAGATCCGAGTTTCCATTACTATGCGAATGGTATTAATGATGTTTTTGATGACACAGATCAAATGTTTGGATATGAAGATGAATATTCTCCAACTTCCAAACCGCTGGTAAAAGGTCATAATAAAATTGGTCATGGTGTTGAATGGGATGAATGGGCTTGGGAGGATCAGACTGCTTTGAAAGGATATTGGGAAAGTAAAGTGTTTGCTCCATTATATGGTGATCGTTATAATATTGATGGAAAGAGGTCGATGTTGGTAGATGTAGACTTGAAGGTTCAAGCAAGTTATCGGAAAGCGCCTGTCCCCATTGTTTCTATCACAAGTAAGCTAGATGGGAAGTCAATAATAGGGCACCCAATCCAAATTGAGGCCCTTAAGGATGGTTCGTCGGATAATCTTTTGTCTGCAGTTGATGACTTTAGTTACGACGGTATTGGCTTTGAGGGAAGTAGTGTACTTCCACCAGCTTGGAGAACTGCAAGGAGAACAGCAAATTTTCGTGTTCCTCGTCCCCTTGTATTGTCATCTAATGGTGCTGAGAGTGATGCGGATTTTTCCATTGATCAAGAAAGAAGTATTGAATATAAGAAATTAAATGGTGGAAGTTCCAGTCATAAGGCAAGCCTTTCCAGGAAGAGTGGCCTTAACAGTTATGTGCCTTTAGACAAGAAATCCACAAAAAAAATGCCAAAGAAAGTGAGCATGTCATCATCTAGTCAGAAAACTAGAACTCTATCCTCATTATCTATTGAAAGTAATCTTGGTAAAAAGCAATTACATGATAGAAGTTATTATCAAACAAATAGGTTGATTAAACCAGAGGTCTCTGGGCTGACTACTGTCTCTTGCATACCAGTGAAATTAGTATTTAGTAGATTACTTGAGAAGATTAATAGGCCACCTTTAAAAGCAGCTAGTAATGCGGCTTTGTCAAATACTGGTTTGGAGAGAAAGTAATAGGTTACATGTACATTGTTTATATATGAGAACAATAATATTAGCGGTGGCGCAGCAGTATGTTGGGTATGTCTTGTTTCCAACAAAAGAGAAATCTTATGAGATTTGTTGTAGCTTTTTTATGATGAATTTGAAATATAGACCCCAATTCATCTTGTAACTAGATAAATATAAGGTGCATGAAGTGCATGTTTGAACCATTTATTTTATATTAATTTGTTTTCTAGACCCTAACATTGCTTTTGAAAACAAGTATTTTTAAACTCCCTAAAACTAACCATATACTAAACATTCACTAAAAGTTGCTCTATCGGTTTTCTGATGGCAGCCATCGTCCTTGCATCGTGACTGTCTAAGGTGCTGATCGTGGTGTGACTTTTATTTTATCTTGTTTCTATTTTATTTGAAGCAACCATTCCCTAAACTCAGATTTTTTGCCCTGTTATCCCGTGTACAAGTTGTAGAATTGGCAATGCTGCTATGTGTTTATTTGTCTGATTATACGCATGTATCTTTCAGGTTTTGATTCTGTGTCCTTTTTGTAAGAGAAACAAGATTAGATGGATAGTTTCAGTTATTAATTCATTTCCCTTACAATCACTGCATATCAGCACATGTACCATGGTAGAATATCTTTATAACAACAAGTTTACTATATATAATCTGATATGCTAGATACACTAATAAAATATCTGGAATTGTATTGCCAGTGAAACTCATCAATTCTCTTTTCTGTTGTAATTCTTTTAATGAAACGTAGAAAATTTTAATCATCACAGTATTAATTGTCTTGATTATACATATTATTAATTTCAATTTTCATTAAATAATTAATCTAAAGAAAATATTTTCATTAAAATAAAATATTGCATATATTTATTATTAATGAAAATATAAATTAATTTATTAGTCTCTCATTTAAAGAAGGTCAACTTCTACTTCTTCGCAAACATGTTAATTCATTAAGTAAAAAAAATATATTCTACTTACATAGTTATTTATGTTTGGTTCCATGAAATAAACGAGATACTAATGTTTTTAAGAAAGTAAAATGGATGTAGTGTAAACAATTCAGAGACAAAGGTTATATGTATTTATATGTTATTTATAATTACACACCTCTACTTTAAGAGGAAGTATATAAATTAAGCAAATTCATTCCTATGAATAAATAAGAGTTACATAATTTTAATGTCTTCAGATTGATTATTTTATATTATATTTAAATTAAAATATCAATAATATAATTTTTTAAAAATGTTTAACCAAACATTTTAATTAAATTCTTATGGTCATTAATAATAGTAAGATAAAATGACTCAAATAAAAGTAACAAAAACTTAAAAGCTTAATTGAAAAAGATAAAGCATAATTCTAGAGAAATAATTAAGAGAATGAAAAATTATATTTAAGTGTAATCCTACGGAGAGAAAAAGAAGAGGGTGTGCGGCAGGGAAAGGTTAGATTGCAATGGAGACAGAGCAAGGGAAAGCAGAAGAAGAGGTGCTAATTCTTTCCCATTCTCCATCTTCTCACCAACCCAACAACAATGCCACAAAGCCAAAGCCAAAGAGATTCGTCAAAAATCAAATTCCAGATTCAATCCTCAACGACCCTCTACTCAACGCCGCCATCGCCGTCCTCCCCTCCAACTACAATTTTGAGGTTCACAAGTCCGTTTGGCGAGTGCTCTCCACCGGGGCCAAGCGCGTCGCCCTCCAGTTCCCGGAGGGTCTCCTCATGTACTCCCTCCCCCTCTCCGACATCTTCACCACCTTCGCCGCCGTCACCCACTGCTACGTCCTCGGTGACGTCACCTACGGCGCCTGCTGCGTCGACGACTTCTCCGCCGCCGCCCTCGGCGCTGACCTCCTCATTCACTACGGCCACAGCTGCCTCGTCCCCATCGACTCCACCACGATCCCCTGCCTCTACGTCTTCGTCGACATCAAAATCGACGTCCCCCACTTCGTCGACACTGTCAGGTTGAACCTCGAATCCCGTGCCCAAACCCTAGTCGTCGCCGGGACAATCCAATTCGCCTCCGCGATTCGCGCCGCCAAGCCCCAATTGGAGCAGTTAGGGTTTAGGGTATTGGTTCCTCAGTCGAAGCCACTCTCAGCGGGTGAGGTTCTGGGTTGCACCGCGCCCAGGGTTTCGTCGAGTTCGCTTGGTTGTGGCGTTGGGGAAAGCGTTTTGGTGTTTGTGGCCGATGGAAGGTTTCATTTGGAGGCATTCATGATTGCGAATCCGGGGATTAGGGCATTCAGGTATGACCCATACATGGGGAAGTTGTTCCTGGAGGAATACGATCACGTGGGTATGAAGCGGTCGAGGAAAAATGCGATTTTGAAAGCGAGGGAGGCTCGGAGTTGGGGTGTGGTTTTGGGGACTCTCGGGAGGCAAGGGAATCCGAGGATATTGGAGAGGTTGGGGGAGAAGATGAGCGAGAGAGGGTTGGATTACACTGTGGTTTTGATGTCGGAGTTGAGTCCTATGAGGGTTGCTCTGTTTGAGGATTCTGTGGACTCTTGGATTCAGATTGCGTGTCCGAGGTTGTCCATTGACTGGGGTGAGGCGTTTGTGAAACCGGTGCTCACTCCTTTTGAGGCAGAGATTGCACTGGGAGTGATACCTGGGTGGTGGGAGAAGAATGAGGTTTGTGAAGAGGGTGTGGGTTGTTGCAAGAGGAGTGGTTCTTGTTGTGAAGAGGGTGCGAAGGGAGAGGAGGATTTTGGTGGAGATTATCCAATGGATTACTATGCTCAAGATGGTGGGGAGTGGAATTCATCGTATGTCAAGAAGTCTACTCGTCCTGCCAGGAGAGTCTCGGTGTCCTCTGTCGCTGATACTACCATTTCCCAATAGTCCTAGATTTGTTGCTTAGTTTTTAGTCCAAGATTTCAAAAACGAGTTCGATTCAACGTCAAGGTTTTTGGAGTCTCTCTGACACCACAAAGCAAACATATCTGATCATGGTTTTTTGCGATATCAAAGACTGCACGACAACCACAATATGAAACCTCGATTATAACAATTTGCTCTGAAAGGTTAGAGTCAACGTAGTCCATTGTTTTCTTTTGTTTTTAGCTTTGTCTTATCCAGGATAAGTTTTGTTGGATGAATGTTTGGGGGGAGAAGAAAACATGCTGAAATGTTGTTTTCTTTGGTCTGATATAAGATTGCCGAAGATAGAATGTGTTTGTTCATTAATGGTATGCATTCTCCGGAGGATGTTGGATGATAAAGGGTGTCAGAAAGGAAAACAAATATCAAAACAGATCCATTCACGATAACTAGCTAATCATTGGAGAGAGATCTTATCGTGCATGTTATAAATATTGGACCCTATAGTGTAAGTAAGTGAAAGGAACGGATATTAGAATATGATTGAATTAAACAAAAGGCATATCAAATCTGTATGTTATTATAAGGGTTCAAGATTTATAAAGTATTTTTTCTTTATTAAATTTGTCTATAGAGAGATGTGTTATTATAATAGTTATAATTTTGAAGACATTTTATCTTTATTTATTAAATATATAACGAATATTTATTAAATATATAAATATTTAATATTTTTAAATTAAATAAGTAAATAATTTATTATAATAAAATAATTTTAAATTAATTATTTACATTATTATAAATAAAATTATTTATTATCATAACAAATAAAATTATATATTATTAATATAATTTTAAACAATTAGTTTATATTTTTTAATTTTAATGTTGATTTGTAATAAATTATCTTTATATATTTTTATTAAATTTTAATATAATAATTTTAATTAAAAAAATAAGTGAAAAAAATAAGAAAAAATAAAATATATCAGATAAAAATAAAAAAATAAGAAAATAAATTGATAGAAATTTTATTTAAATATATTTTTTTAAATATTATTATAAAATTGATCAATTAAAAAATATTAAATTAAAATATTTTAATTAAATATTAATATACTTTTACAAGTGTACGCTATTTTATCCTTTAAGTGAAAAATATTTTTCTATTTCTTTTTTATCTTTCTATTCAAATAATGTTTTTAAAATTAAATTAACGAACCGAATTGATAAAAATATGATTAGATTTTAAAAGTTTAATAAAAGTAGAAACAAATTTAATAAAATAATATTTTGTCATCATTATCATAAATTATAATAAAAATATAAATATAAAATATATTAAAAAATTTTAAAAAATTATTAAAATATGATAAAAATATAATAAAATAATTATTATTTAATTCAATTTTTCTTTTTAATTTTATACCAATTTAATTATTTAAAATTACAATATCAATCTCTAATGCGGTTCAACTGTTTTTTAAAACACTCATTATATCTTATCATCTTATTTTTTATTTTTTAAAAGCTTTTTCTCTAATTAGAATAAATCTTTTCCAACCTTCACCATCTTTAAGCGCAAGGTGGTTCAGAGCAACTGGGTTTCTCTTTCAATCTTCCCGCTGAAATTCAAGTTTGTTGGAAGCTTCTCTGTTTCCGGTATGCATTCTTTTACACTGATTTCCATTCGAAGCTTCCATGCCTTATTTCTATTCTTGATGTTATTTTAGTCTATCATTTTATCTACTTCCAAATACACGAGTAATTAATTAAAAACATGAAGCCCTAGATAGAGCATGAAAAATTAGTTCCGTTTCATAAATTGCTCCAAGAATAAGCCATTGTGAATTTGAGTCCGTAGTCAAAATAGCGTTCTAGAGCGTAAGATCATAGGCGTCAGATAAAGATTCGCACGTGTGGCGCGGGCCTTTGTGTCGTGCGGGTACAGCAGCATCTCTGTCGCCCGGGTACGGTGTCTCCGTCGCGTGGGTGCTGCAGCGTCTCTATCGCATGGGTGTTGCGGCGGCGTCTCTTTCGCGGCGGCGACTCTCTGCGGCGCAACCTATTTCTATATTGTTTTCAAGGGTCAGGTTTGTGACCCTGGTTGTAGCTTCTAGGTTAAGTCCAAGTTTTTATCCTTCAAGGTCAAGGCCCAATAACTCCATCTTCAAAGCCCAAATTTGGCTAAAATGGAGTGACTTCGGCTCTTTTCTTCCTGACCAAAAAACAAGAGACTTCACTCTCCCATAAAAAAAAAATCGTAGAGCTCTTCCACTGCATCATAACGAATCTATTTAATTAAATATATTTATTTGACTTACTAATTTTTGTGCCTATTATTATTTTTTTTCTTGTGTGTTTATTTGACATAATTTTTTTGACTACCTTGCGGCCCAATCTGAAAATTTGTCAATTTATTTAGTTGATTATTACAGTTTACTCTGCTAATTTACTTCTGAATGAAATGGTTTAGTTTAGACTACTACTACTACATTATTTGTTAAATTTAGGAAACATATTTTCTTTGAAACTTTAGATTGTGTTCTACAGGTGTTGTTTTCCCCTGAAAATTTTATGTGCAGCTTAATAATCCTTTTTATTCTGCAGTTCTTTTTCATTTTCTTGTCTGAGAAAAACATATCAATTAGATGAAACTCTTGAGCTGTTTTACTTTGGCGGTTTATGTCACCTATTTTCAATTTTTTTATCATATTGTGTCAAGATAGGTGTGCATGGCTACAGATTCAAGGAAACGCACATTGGAGGCTTTGGAAAAAAGAATAGCTTTTGCTAAAGCTGAAGTTCTCCAAAAAGAAAAGAAAAACAAAAAGAATATAAATGAAGATGGGAAACCACCTATTGCTGCAGATTCTACTACTAAAGATCCTTCCCCGCATCTGTTGCATTCATCATCAGTCACACCCAAGAAAGGTAATTCATTTTTCAATCTTGTAGATTGTTCTTATTTCCTCATAGCCGGTAATACTGTATAGAATGTTTCAATCGCATTTGTTGTTTAATTTTAGTAGTATCATAAGTACTTATTATCTACATTAAGAAGAATTTTGTCTTCATTTCGTGGGTTTTATGCTCCATTCATTTGCATCATGTCTTATTGTCTAGGAATAGGATAAGCTTTACCTTTTTTATCTCGTCAATTCTGCACTATGATACGGATTCATATATATAAATATCTTGTTTCGCATTTAGCTGATAATTTTCACTGTCCCCCATTTTAGGGAATTTCAGCTTTTCCGGTCATTCAAATTCACAAGGTACTAGAGAGTCAATGTCATACTACCCTTTGATATTTAAGTTCTTTCTTTTCTAATTTCTTTTTTTGATTTTGAGGGTTTTATGCAAATTATATATTAAATTTTGTTACTTCAATGTATGTGGGGACCCAATGATTTAAATATCTGTTTGCAGACATTGAAGATGGTCCTATATATGCCCAACTTTCTCTGCCTGTAAATGAGAATCTGCTCATAACTAATGAGGTATATCCTTGCTTAGATCTCACGTGGTGACTATGAGTTGTAAGAAACCTAATCAAAGCATTTTCTTGTAAAATTTTCCATTATAAATCCATAATAATTAATCTCTTCCAATGTCGATCTCTAAAACAAACACTGATGCATGGAACAATTCCACAGATCTTGCAAGCAACCTTTTAACCAATTAACAATTGTGGTTGTTCCCAGTCTAGCCAGAATGTGGAAGTTACTTTATCTTCAATTTTGAAATATGTAGATTTTTCCATTAATACATATGATATATGAATTTTCTTTGTTCCTTGATTTCAGTAATAAATTGGTGGAAATTTGTATTTGTTCACCATTGACGTATTTTGCAGTTTTCTACTAAAGGAGGTTCAATTGATGGCATATTGCATGAGCTTCTTCAGAAGGGAGATGCTTCACAAAAGTACATGCAGGGGTCTAGAAACATGAAAATTGACAATTGGGTCCTTCTTGATAATTATGTCCAAAAACGGGTGTTTTCCTCTGGTTCTCAAACCAGAGCTTTGCAACTTCATTCAAAACGCTCTAAGAAACACATGTCTATGAAACAACATAAAAAGTATGGATCATTAGCTCTTCCTCAAGAGTTCCACAAGTAAGTTAAAAATATACTTCCTAACATTATGTTGATCCTAATGTTATTTTTATAGCTCTGCATGTGGTAGTGTATATTATTGTTGTGAGGAATCTTTTACTTCAGCTTCAGCTTTTGTTTAGGAATTTTAGTTTTATTGTATATACAAATAATGTTTTGTACAAACATGTTTTGTTCTAATTGGTCACATTTTTTTATTTCTAAAATGATGTTTTTTTGTTCCCTAATAGTTTACTTTGATTGCAGGTTCGAAATTTTCAAGCCAATGTATGAAATGTGGAAAGATTACATAAAGCTGCTTCTTAAATCCACTGGGTACATATTTTGTATCATTTTCATAATAATTTATGCTGCTTTCCTCTTCAGGCTTTTGTGATTAACTTGTTTAATATTGCAGGAAAACTCAATTGGCTCAATGTCTTCTAGGTGCAGATCTACATGGTGCTTTCATTTTAGGTTTGAGCACACTCTTTTTTACTTTTAAATGAGTTAAAAACACCTAAGATAATTTTATTATAAAATAGGAAAAGCAGTTTCATACCTGGTCAAGATATTAGTTCATTGACTATAAGGACAGTTATTTTCTATTAATTTTTTTCCCAATAGATAATTGTGTTTTAATGTGTAGTTCTTTTGTGTGCATTAAAAGGTGTGTGAAAATTTCTGTTACTGCTGTATTAGAATTGTAAAAGCCTATTTTTGGTGTTCATGGAAAGTGAATGATTTTGAGTAGTACTCGCTTGCAATCATTGACTATAAATTATGGCACTGAGCTTAATAATAAAGATAAGCTGCCGGTTAGTTCAGGGGGCAGACCAAGTCTTTGATTTTCTTGTTCAAGAAAGATTCCCTTATCTGAGCCTCCCTTGCCTTGGAAATCCCCTGTAGTCTCCATAAGCCTTTTCACGGTCCATCAGAATGTTAAAAGAAAAAAATAGTTGGGCTTCTGATTTGTCTATATGAAAAAATTAATTATTTTGGTCTGTATCTCCATTATAATCATCTGCATGTTATCACTAATTAGACCGTGTCCATCTATTTTTGCAGTTGTGGAGTGTAAAATAACCCATTTTACAGGAATTCGTGGCATTATGATTCGTGAAACTGCAGAAGCATTTGGGATAATTACTGAAGATGATAAATTTCGAGGTAATCTTTTCACCGTATAGAAATATAGACCGAAGTTGCATTATCTCTAAGTTGTTATACTTGTAAACTTATATGAAGGTATATAGTTGTTTCTAGACTATCAAGGACATCTCTAATAAGAGCCACTTACATGAGTTTTTGCTTATTTTGAGAAATGTAAAACAGGAATTTATAATATTACATCATTTTTAAGTAACTCATTGTTAATTTTACTCCATTAGAATTTTTTTTAATAAATTTTAAAAAATTCATTCTCTCATATTTTCTTTCTGTGCTTATTTTTGTAAGTTTCTTGATGAAACAACTATTAAAAAAATTTAAGCACATGCCCCATAAGATTCTTTCAATGGAAAGTTACTTTAAGTAACTAATGCTTTATTTAAGCATCTCAATAAGTAATGTTGGAGATTAGCACTATCAATTAGAATAATTCAATTATGTACAACATTTATAAGGAGAATATTTTCCTGATTTTCAGGGATAAATTAGTATATAGGTTTATTACCTTGTATTTTATTTATACCTCCTTTGTATCTTTTCCAAAATAAGAACTACACAACGTATTCTCTGCATGGTATCAGAGCTTGATCTAGATCATCCCTAACCTAGCGTAGCTAACCATGTAGGAGAACAAGGACCATGGAAGAGAACAAGGCAGAATGTTCAACCACCAGTTTGGTCGAAGGACCTGCTCTTTTTATCATTGGTCACAAATTGAATGGCCAATATTACCCTCAATGGGTGCGTTCAGTTAAAAATCTTCTTTCAAGGAAAATGGAAGGAAGGTTACATCACCAGAGACTCCAAGTGTCCAGTAAAGGGTGACCCTAACCTCAATAAATAGGGAGAATATTTTCTGATTTTCAGGGATAAATTAGTGTATAGGTTTATTACCTTGTATTTTATTTAAACCTCCTTTGTATCTTTTCCAAAATAATAAATACATAACGTATTTTTTACATGGTACCAGAGCTCGATCTGGACCATCCCTAACTTAGCGTAGCCAACCATGGAAGAGATTAATGTAGAAGGTTCAACCATCAGTTTGGTCGAAGGACCTGCTCTTCTTATCATTGGTCACAAATTGAATGACCAAAATTACCCTCAATGAGTGCGTTCAGCTAAAAATCTTCCTTCAAGGAAAAGGGAAGGAAGGTTACATCACCGGAGACTAAGTGTCTAGTAAAAGGTGACCCTAACCTCAACAAATGGCAACTAGAAAACAGTTTAGTCATGTCATGGTTACTCAACACCATGACCAATGAAATTGGGGAGAATTTCATGTACTATGACACTGCTAAGGAAATGTGGAATGCAGTGAAGGAAACCTACTCAAATGTGGACAATACGTCTGCGGTATTTGATATCAAGAGCATATTCCATGAATTGAGACAAGGTGATTTCTCAGTCACTGAGTATTTTAATACACTCAACCTTATTATCCTAAAGTTGGCATTCAGGAGGAGCAAATTTATCCAATTGAAGTGGTAGAATTTCAACTTTTGGGATTTGAGCTAGCTCACTCTGTCTCAAATGCAGAACCAGCCAAGACTACACCTGCAGTAGAGGAAACTACAGTAGCAAATGCAGAGCCAGCCGAGACTGCACTTGAAAGAAAGGAAGTAGAGTCTAGCACAACTCCAAGGCAAAGTCATGAATCAAACCAAGCTCCAGAAAATGAGTTTTTCCTAGATAATATCGTTTCTAATTCTGAACCTATTGATGACATTGACATTCCTATTGCATTAAGAAAAATGGTGAGATCTTGCACTCAACACCCCATTGGGAATTATGTGTCCTATGACAAATTTTCGCATGGGTATAGGTCGTTTGTGGTAACTCTTGACAGCATACATATCCCAAGAAATGTAGGCACTCCAACAATCTGAATGGGCAGCAACTATAATAGAAGAAGTTCAAGCCTTGTTAAAAATGGTACATGGGAAATCACCACCCTACACCCTACCAAAAGGGAAGAAATTGATTGGATGCAAGTGAATATTCTCTATCAAATACAATGCAAATGGTAGTATAAATCGGTACAAAGCTCGACTGGTGGCAAAAGGGTTTACCCAATTATTTGGAGTGGACTACGAAGACTGTTTGCACCGATAGTTAAACTCAATTCAATCCGAATTATACTCTTTTTAGCTGCAAATTTAGATTGACCACTTTATCAACTAGACATCAAGAATGTCTTCCTAAACAGTGAACTAGAAGAATAAGTCTACATGCAAATTCCTCCGAAACTTGAATCATCAAAAACCTCAAACATGGTATGTAAGCTCTAAAAATCTTTATATGGCCTTAAGCAATCTCTGAGAGCATGGTTTGATAGATTGCCTGAGGTTGTCAAAGAAGATGAATTCAACCAATGCCAATTAGATCACACGATGTTTGTCAAACACTCCGCATAAGGGAAGGTAGTCTTGTTTATTGTTTTATTGTTTATGTTGATGATATCGTTGTCACAAGAGACGATTATGATCAAATCAAACATTTGAAGGGCTTTTAGCCAAGGAATTTGAAGTTAAGGATTTGGGCCAGCTCAAATACTTTCTAAGGATGGAAGTTGCTCAGACGAAGAATGGTATTTATGTATCACAAAGGAAATATGCACTAGACTTACTTCAAGAAACTGGCATGCTTGGGTGCAAGGTAGCCAATACTCCCATAGAACTGGAAAAGAGAGGTGAAGAGGAAAGTCCACTAGCTGATAAAGATAGATATCAAAGATTAGTTGGAAAGCTAATCTACCTAACTCACACCAGGCCCGACATTGGGTTTGCTATTAGTCTGGCTAGTCGCTATACATCTAATCCTACTGAATCTAACATGAACATGGCAAATGGAATACTCTAATACCTCAAAGGTACACCAGATCGAGGGCTCTACTTCAAGAAGAACTTAAACATAGGTATTGAAGTCTATACTGACTCAGATTGGGCAGGATGTCCCTTGAACAGGAAATCAACTACAAGCTACCGTTCCTTTGTGTAGGGAAACATGGTGACTTAGAGAAGTAAGAAGCAACCTATGGTGGTAAGGAGTAGTGCAAAAGTTAAATTCAGAGCTATTGATCTAGGTATCTGTGAAGGAATCTGGCTTAAGAAGATGTTAGATGAAATCAAAATTCCTGTCAATTACACTATGAGGATAATTGTGACAACAAAGTTGCGATAAGCATAGCAAAGAACCCAGTCTACAATGATAGGACAAAGCATGTGAAAATTGATCGATACTTCATTAAAGAAAAAATTGATCATGGTTTTATAAGTGTTGACCATGTTCCATCATGCAGACAAACAGCAGATATCCTGACAATATTAGATTCAATATGAGTATGATAGACATCTACTACCCAGATTGAGGGAGAGTGTTGGAGATCAATATTATCAATTAGAATAATTCAATTATAATAGGATTTAATGATAATATAATCAGTTTTATTTCATTATTTATACACAATTATGTACAATATTTATAGGGAGAATATTTTCTTGATTTTCAAGGATAAATTAGTATATAGATTTATTATCTTGTATTCTATTTATATCTCCTTTATATTTTTTTCAAAATAAGAAATACCCAACATATTTTTCGCATTAACTTTCATAGAAGATATTCATAATTATAGCACAAACTCAGCTTCCTTTACCCTTATTTCTCCCGCCACTTAAGTTTGTCAGCATATGTGAGTAATCACAAGTTACCACTTTCACTAAGAAAATTAAATAGGTTTTGACTTACTCTCATCTGTATCTCTTCCAACATTGTGAATTAGTTGATTACGAACTTGGATCCTTTACGATGACAAATTCTGTGGTATTTTTGGCTAATGTTGAAGTTTTGTGATTTATCTATTCTGGGATCCATCTCTCTTCCTTAATTTATTCCTTTCAAACTTGTGACGACCGAATTGTACTCTCTATTTGGTATCGTGCAGTTGTTCCCAAAAAGGTTTCTGTGTTTGTATTCCAAGTTGATTGCTGGAAAGTCACTCTGAATGGAGATAAACTTGGTTCAAGAAAGGTTGGATTATAATATTGGTGATGATGATCTTTGAACTTAGGCAACATCTTGGGCCATGTTCTATCAGTTTTGATGATGGTACTTACTCTTTTTAACCTTGTTACTCTTATCTTGTGTTTTTCTTGCTATTATAAGTTTTTACAGTGTGCCTCTCTTACTTTAAAACAGAATATGCGTAAAACGCGTGTGCATTATGGCAGACACAGAAATGTTTCAATGCTCATTGGATTGCATCATTACAGAAGTTGGACATTGCTTAAATATTAGTTACTGGAAAGAAGTTGAATGACACTGTCATGGGCTCTTAAAATTAAGAATAATTCAATATTTAATTTTTTTATCATTTTTTATAAGAGGGTTTGGGAATAGAAGGCCCAACCCATTAATTTTACCTCCGTCTCAAAACTTCGGTAAATTTCAAGTTCTCAAATTTACATGCTTTACTCCTTTATTAGTCAAACCTAGCTTTGTATACAATAAATTAAAGATTTGACATATGTAAAATTATAGAAGCTGAAAATATGGATTTTAAATTTTGAGGAATCATATAAAAGACAGCAAGGAACAAAATTCCTAAAAAAAAAGGACAAAAATCCTAAAAATAATGAAAGAAATTTCATATTATGTATGATCAAATATAGGAGACAAAAATTACTGATTACATATCAGGAACTGAAAGAGAATAAAATTATAATTTATTCAAAATATTTATTATAATAATAATTTTCTTACGAGTGAGGATTTTGGAAAGGAATAACTGATACAAAATAAATTTTGTATTCCAAATTGGTACTTTTTTTAATCATAACTCCTGGATCCACACCTCAGAAAAATTTAGTTTTCAACGACCATGTTCAAATTCACTTTGAGATTGTTTTAAGGCTGACAGCAATCCTAAGCCTATGATTTGTTATTCAGTTAACTGTATCATATCATACAACTATTATTACTAATCAAATATACATCCTTTTCCCTAACAAGGAATTTTTATACAATTAGTTCAGCTTTAAACAATTTTAAAATGCAGTGGTTTATTACTTAATTCCAAATACAGTGAATAACCGTAGCACATGTGGTTATCAAACATATTATAGGAATCAAGTCAAAAGCACCACATTTTAAGTTATTCCCAAGAATCCCATACCCCCCCAAAAAAATAAAAATAAATGATACTTCTATCCCATCCACTTTAATCACACACGACCCATAAAGAATTATTTACATCTTTTTAAAGAACGAATAATTTAAATTCTTACTTCAACAACATCGCCATCTTTGAGTTTTGTGTTGGGCAATACTAACTGTCCATTAATCAAAACCAGCTTTCCCTCCAAACCAACTCTTTGAGCAGCATCAGTAGCAGTGCTACCAGCTTTTAACCTCAAAATTTCACCATGAGGCCAACAAATAATTACCACTTCCCCAAGAGAACCATTAAGATCATAAAGCTTTGCGTCATACTTTGTTTGCTTGACACTTACTTCAGAGCGCAATTGTTCTTCCCAGGAAAGCATTGCTCTCAAAAGCTTCACCTAAAAGATGAATTACATTCAGAGTCACTGAAACATTCAACGACATTTCACAAATCTACATAAATAACGGGCAAAAATAAAATATCAACTTTCATTTTGCATGGTGGATACTTTCCGACATAAATTTTGGCAATCGTAACTGCCATTTGAAATTTTAAATTTACAACCACAATGCTTACCAAAAAATAAAAATAATGATCTGCAAAAAATATAGATTTTGCTTTGGGTAGACCAAACTCAAACTTTTAGATTAACTTTTTAGCATGTATATGGTCGGTAACACTGAGCAATTCAAGGGACAAGAAGAATCAAAATTAAAATGAAGCGACTGAAAAAATCTACATAGCATGCATGATATACAGAAAATAATTGCATTCATATTATTTCAATGGCAATGATTTTGACACGAAAAGAAATCAAAGACAAACATAAGCAATTTCCATTTGTACAATTGCTTGTAAGAGAGGTACGATTGTGGCCAAATACCTTGTTATTGATGCCAGCTTCCGCAGAAGTTGATGCAACCAAGTCAAATTTTGACTGAGATGTTATCCAGTCAACTTGTCTGCCCTCAAACACAGCCGACACGACAGCCCAATATTCAGATTCGTCTTGCTCAGTAAAATTGATAACTTGGATGAATGTTGGGAGTAGTCTCCCAAATTGGTCTTGCTGCGAATGATGTAAATAATAATATAAAGTTCTTCACAGCAGTCTGATAGTATTAAAACCCATTATAGTTCTAAGAAAATCAGTAATGAAAAAAATCAACGTTATTTATAATGGATAAAAACCTACCTCCAAAGCCTATCTCCATCTCTATCCCCTCTAATAAAAAGTCATCATATTTAAACTTGATGTTTTGTTTTTAAGTTAAGTTAACCGGACTCATTAAAAACATAAGATGACGACTTTTTATTGGAGAGAACATGGATGGAAATAGATTTTTGAGACAGGCGATTTCTATCCATTTATAATATATTATTTTTTATGCATGTTCAATATTAAATAGTTTTACATATGTGTAACCGCTACATGAAATGAGTTTAATAACAAATAGAAATTAAATTATAAATTATATGATCAAATCTTTCAAGTCAATCTTTTTAAATCCATGACGTGGTATTTGTAATATAATAGAGACCACCTAACAGAACCATTTATATTTGACAGAAGAAATATGATATAGGATGACATAAATGATGAAAATTCAAAAAATATGACTGATTAATATGGACGTAGAGAAAAACCTATATGTAATCATGACAGTATATTATCATTTACGTTAAGGAATATAACGCTAGCTTTAGTTTTAAAATATACTTCACTTGTTTTTAGTCTGATTTTTCTTCACCGCCTGAGGACATAATGTCTCATAAATTGAATTATCCAATCCTTATATATTACTGAGCGCCTCGTCAACAAGGGAGAATAAGCTCTCAAACAAAAATTTGCTCGATTACTGAGAGCACGTAGTCGATAGTAATTATCGAGCACCTTCAAATATTGACAAGCAAAAGGCTGGCCAAAATGAAAATAATTTCCCTATAGTAATTTCTACACCGCAGATAATTTCCAGTACATGTTGGTGACTAAGAACAAGAATACAGTCAGTGAGCAAAGGATAAACTTTCACATAAAAAACACGGAAAAAAATTCTGGTGTATGTCATTGTGTCTACATTGCTGATTAACAAAAATGACGAAAACTAAAATGTAGTGTATAATTTATATTCTCTTAGAAAAACATACCTTGTGATACATACCATCTCGACATAGTGTGTACTTCTCTAGACAAGTACACCAATCCCCGTGTCCTGGTTCAAACCACCATTCATCAGATACCTGAAGCAAACCAACAGTAAACAACTTGACCCAAGTAGTTTAAAATTTTAAATACTATGCGCATGAAAAGATGACACAACAGCATGATCTGGCCATGGAAAGAGCAATACAGCATGTAGCAAGCGAGACTATAAGCTTAACTGTTACTATATCCATCCAAGAATTGGCTTCTCAGTAGGTGTTATTAGTCAATTCATATACTTTCCATAAACTATTCATCATAAGCCATCGCTTAATTAAATATGATAATCTAAGTAGCAAACCTTTTTAAATAGTCGAGCATAAGCTTCCCATCGCTTATAAATATGGAAAGATCTTCTGTCAGCAACTGCTTCAGAAGCAGCTAACCCAAAGCTCACAGCAACTAGTAATTCTCTTTCATCATTTTCTACACTGAAGAGATAATGAACAAAAGTGAATCAGTATGGATAACTTCTTATAATATAACACCCATTTGAAATGAAGGTGTTATGCACCTGATGATAACAGCAGCAAGTAAGTGACTCCCTTCTACTCTGAGGACTGGATGTCCAGCCTTGAATGACTTATATTTACTTAACAAAATGTCTGAAGAATTTCCTCCCTCTAAATCTTTGGAGAAATAAGAGGGTGCTTCTGTTTCAGGTTCATCCATGCTGTGTATAGATAAAAACGGATTTCCAGTTTCCTTGTAAAGCCAATGTGCGGCAAGTCCATGTTCAGCACACTCATGCATCCTCTATCAAGCAAAATGATAAATGAAAATACAGATAACTAAATATAAACAAGTAACCTCTACAACATATGCAAAATAATTTAGCACCTGTGTTCTTATTTGTACTTCTAAAGGTGAGCTGTCAGGACCTTGGACTGCAGTGTGCAAGGACTGCAACATTAACAGGTTAATACAATCATGAGCACAGTTCTCGTGACTAAAAGAACAAGATCATTTTTATTCTAGTTCATTAAAATATGAACAGGAAAGCTTAACCTGATAGCCACTAGGCTTTGGATTAATGATGTAGTCATCAAATTCACCATCTATTGGAGTCCAAAGCCTGTATAATAAAAGATAAAATATACTTATAAATTAAGAGCTATTTTCCAGGGACAATAGGGTTAATGAATTATAAAGATCCCTAATATCTATTACATATAACCTTCCACTCTTAAAGAACGAAGACAATGGGCACTAAAGTTTATACCCACCTCACAGGTAGTTCAAAATAACTGAAAAGGAAAAAATGATGGAAATATAGAAGAGATTAATTTAGTTGATGGGTTTTTTCATGGTTTCCTCTCTACGACAATATCTTATCCTCCTCCGCCTCTTTGCTGCATTATTATTTTTATTCTGGATTTCTTTTCTTGTTAAGTAAAAAATATATATATATATCAATATGTTGCATGTAAAAAATGTCAAACTAAAGTTTATGTCTATACAGTGATTGCATTGAATGACTTATGTATAGGTCGTAGAATTGAAAAAAGTCTGACATTTGATCATTTTTTTACCTGTGTACAATATCAAGAAGACTATAGCAACACTGAACTGCAGGACCATGTAAGGTTCCATTCTTGTCTCCCACAACTACTCTCAATGCACGTGCATCATATACCTTATCAATGCTTATATCCTTTCGTTTCATCTACACAACACACAATACAATCATGACTTTACCATTCAATTAGTTATTGCCAAGTGATCTGCACAAGGTTTATGATTAGTAGTGTAATCATTGCTCAGTAGGAAAGAAAAACATTTAAGGCTAGTTGCATATTATTAAGATGAATGATGAAGAATATATTAATGTTATCATAAAAGGAACACTAAAATTGATCATTAGAAACCTCAGCAGATTCATTTGCATACGCTCATATGACTCCATTTATTGCATTGTCTGTTCATACTAAAAGAATATTTTGAAAAGATGGGACAAGGAATTGCATTGTTCTGGATCGCTATCAGAGATATTCTCAAATCCATGGGAATCTGGATTCATTTCTTATCCTTATAAGGGTAAAACTTCCTCACTTTCCCTTTTATTTAAGATATTACTTTCCTTATTTGAACATGGTGCACCACTATGAGGGGGTTTCAATTATCCAATCCCACTCATTGTTATGCACACTAGCTAAACTCCTTGTTTGCTTAAGTATCAAAGTATCTTTGCTAGAACTCCACATAGCCCATCACCATTGGAGTAGGAAGCAAATGCAAGAGTCACACCACGGGGTATGCTTAGCATATGAAAAAAACTGAAAAAGAAATAAGGAAATAAAGAGGAAGGAATAAAAAGGAACAAAAAATGAGATGATTTTGTAAACTTTTCTTCCCTTTTGTTTGGTTGGGTAAAAGATACAAGGAAAGACAAAATTATAAATTGACATAAATGTCCCTATTAAAAAGCTAAAGTAGGAAAAAAATATAAATATTTTGGTCTTTTTGTTAAATAACCAACTTTCCACCCCCCATTGTTCCCACATTCGCATGAATCATGAATTAATATGGAAGAAATAACAAAAAAAAAAAAACACATTTTCAGATGTGGATCTTCTTTCCTTCTTTCAATCATTCCCGTTAGAATTATTAAGTAGTCGGTGGTTGGTGGTTGTTAGTAGTTGGTAGTTGTTGTTTTAAATGTTGTAATCCTATAAATATATGAGATCATAGAGTGGAGTAAGCATCCCACAAAATTAGAAATCTTCTTTTCATTCTCTTTACTCTCTTAACTTGGTATCAGAGCAGGTTGGTCCTGCTCTGCCTGTCCGGCCACCGTCCGGCCATTTTCCGGTCACCGTCCGACCATTTTCCGGTCACGGTCCGACCATTTTCCGATCACCGTCCGGTCATTTTCCGATCAACGTCCGGCCACTTTCCAGCCACTTTCCGGCCACTTTCCGGTCACTTTTCGGCAACCGTCAGTCCCCCGTCCAGTCACTTTTTTTTGCTGCCGTTCGACGACTTTCCGACCACCTTCCAGTAACCTTCCGGCTATCTTGGGTGTTCTCTTTCTTACAGGTTCCATTGTCTCCATCTTACATCTACATTATTTAAAACATGTCGTCAGGGCCCACAACCTCCTTTTCCGGAACTCCCACGATAACGGCTGAAAAATTAAATGGAAAAAATTACATGTCTTGGTCCTCTTCAGTGGAACTTTGGTTCCTTGGACAAGGGTTTCACGATCATCTAGAAGAAGACGGAAGTAAGATACCAGAAGATCAGACTCAACAATGGAAAAAGTTTGATTATCAACTCTGTGCTCTACTGTGGCAATCAGTAGAACCAAATATTTTGAACACTCTCAGATCCTTCAAAACATGTAACTCTTTCTGGAAAAAAGTTCAGAATATCTTCGCAAATGATATCCAACGCCTCTATGATTCCGCTAATCGATTAGCCTCTCTCAAGCAAGTGGATAAAGATATGATGACATTTATTGCTGAAGCTCAATCAGCAGTTGAAGAATTAAAGATGTTCCTAGAGGAGATAAAGCAAAAGTTGGATAAATTCTATATGGTTATGACTCTCCGAGCTATGAATTCAGAATTTGATCATGTTAGAGATCAAATTTTAACTGGACAAGAAGTTCCTTCTATGGAAAGTTTGATTACAAGACTGCTTCGTGTTCCAACTCTCAAAGAAAAAAATAATCAAGAACTTGTTGAATCTTCTGCTATGATTTCTACCCATGGAAGAGGAAGTCGCGGCACTAGAGGAGGACGTGGAGGTAGAGGACGTCCTCGGTGCACTCATTGCAAGAGAATGGGTCATACGAGTGGAAAATTGCTACTCTTTGCACGGTTTTCCTAAAAAGCTGTCAATTTTTCCAAATACGAAATGGTTGAACCCAAGTTCTCTCACGAAGAATATCGGGAATATTTGAGGTTGAAATCCGAGTAATCTAGCACGATCATCAACAACCCCAAATTCATCAACGACTTGCATTTCACAATTCGTGGAAAGTCAAAATCCATGGATTATTGACTCAGGTGCTTCGATCACATGTCTCGGTAATACCTCTTTGTTCTCTTCTCTCTCATTTCCTAAAACTCCTCATCTCATAACCTTAGCCAACGGATCTAAAGTAGTCCGTAAAGAAGCTGGTCAAGTCTCCATTTCTCCGTCTTTAAACTTAAAATCTGTTCTTTTTGTTCCTTCATGTCCCTTCGAGTCTCATTTCCCTAAGTCAATTAACCAAATTATTGAATTGTTCAGTAACTTTTAATGCCAACTCTTTTGTTATACAGGAACGTGGTACGGGTCGACAGATTGGCGAAGGACATGAATCTGGAGGCTTATAATACCTTGGGACTAAATCATCTGTATCTTGTGTTGCATCCTTGTCTCCAAAACTATTACACGAACGGTTAGAGCACCCTCACTTATCAAGATTAAAAAAAATGGTTCCTGAACTTCAGACTCTTCAAGATTTTGAATGTGAATCATGTCAACTAGGGAAACATACTAGGTCCTCTTTTCCTAAATGTTCTGAATCTAGATGTGACTCTGTCTTTTCTCTTGTTCATTCTGATATTTGGGGTCCTAGTCGTGTCTCATCCTTTGGCTATAGATATTTTGTTACCTTCATTGATGAGTTTTCTAGGTGTACTTGGATTTATCTAATGAAAGACCGTTCTGAATTATTACCTATCTTTAATTCTTTCCTTAACAAAATCAAAAATCAATTTGAAAAAGTAATCAAAGTTTTACGAAGTGATAATGCCAAAGAATACTTTTCTACTGATTTCTCTACTCTCTTAAGCTCCCAAGGCATTTTACACTACTTGTCCTCACACACCACAACAAAATGGTATAACAGAACGAAAAAATAGACATTTGGTTGAAATTGCCCGTACCTTATTACTTGGTGGAAATATGTCCGTTCATCATTGGGGAGATGCTATTCTTACTACATGTTTTCTCATTAACAGAATGTCATCTTCTTCTCTTAACAATAAAGTTTCACACTCTATTCTATTGCCAAAGGACCCACTCTTTCATGTTTCTCCTCGTGTATTTGGTTGCGTATGTTTTGTTCATGATATGTCTCCAGGATTAGATAAACTATCAGCTAGAGCCATCAAATGTGTCTTCTTGGGATATTCTCGTCTTCAAAAAGGATATCGATGTTATTCTCCTAAAACCAAGAGGTACTACATGTCTGCTAATGTCACTTTTTTTGAGTCAACTCCCTTCTTCCCTTCTTCTATGCAAGATATTAGTTCGGTCCAAAATGTCCTACCTATACCCTTAGTGGAGCCATTTGTACCTCCTCCTCCTGACACCCAAAATTACACACAAAATACACCGGAATCCTCATCACTGCCTCTTATTACCTATCAACACAGGAGCCAAATGATCAGTCCCATGTCCCAAGATGAGTCTTCCTCAGCAGATCCTTCTCAATCATCCCCTGATACCACGATTCCTAATAATGATGACTCAAGTTGGCCCATTGCCATTCGCAAAGGTACTCGCTCTACTCGTAATCCACATCCCATTTACAATTTTCTTAGCTACCATAGATTGTCTCCTTCCTATTTTTCTTTTGTTTCTTCTGTATCCACTATTACTATTCCAAAATATGTGAAAGAGGCACTTGATCATCCTGGATGGCGACAAGCCATGATTGATGAAATGCGGGCTCTTGAGCACAATGGTACATGGAACTTAATTCCTCTTCCACATGGGAAGAAGACTGTTGGTTGTCGTTGGGTCTATGCCATTAAAGTTGGACCAAAAGGTGAAGTTGATCGACTCAAAGCTAGATTAGTAGCAAAAGGCTATACTCATATCTATGGCCTTGACTACAGTGATACTTTTTCTCCTGTGGCCAAAATGACTATTGTTCGACTTTTCTTTGCTATGGCAGCTATCCGTCATTGGCCTCTTCATCAGTTAGATATCAAGAATGCAAATGTGATCTTGAGGAGGAAATTTATATGGAGCAACCTCCTGGTTTTGTTGCTCAGGGGGAGTCTAGTTTGGTTTGTAAGTTACATCGTTCTCTCTATGGTCTCAAACAATCTCCACGTGCTTGGTTTGGAAAGTTTAGTCACATTGTTCAAAGTTTTGGATTAAAACGAAGTGAAGCAGATCATTCTGTTTTTTATTATATTGCTTCAGGAAAATGTGTTTATTTAATTGTATATGTAGATGATATAGTCATTACAGGGGATGATGTTGATAAAATTTCTTTGCTAAAGAAACATTTATGCAATCACTTCCAAACTAAGGATCTTGGTTGTCTCAAATACTTTCTAGGGATTGAAGTGGCTCAATCAAAAGAAGGCATCGTAGTCTCCCAAAGAAAGTATGCTTTAGATATCCTGAAAGAAACAGGTATGATTGATTGTAGACCAGATACATGACCCTATGGATCCAAATTAGAAATTAATGGCGGATCAAGGTGAACCGCTCTCGATCCCGAGAGATATAGAAGACTTGTTGGGAAACTCATTTATCTCACCATTACCGGACTCGACCTATCTTTTGCCGTTGGAGTTGTGAGTCAATTTATGCAAAATCCACGTACTCGATCATTGGAATGCTTGTCGTTCACATCCTAAAATATCTCAAAAAGCTCCAGGACAAGGTCCGTTGTATGAAGATAAAGGGGGTACCCAAATATCTGGGTATTGTGATGCTGATTGGGCTGGATCCCCTATGGACAGACGCTCCACTACAGGATATTGTGTTCTCATTGGAGGCAATATTATTTCTTGGAAAAGTAAAACAAAATGTAGTGGCCCGGTCTAGTGCTGAAGCTGAATATAGAGCAATGGCATCTCTCACTTATGAACTAGTGTGGGTGAAACAATTCCTTCAAGAATTGAAATTTTGTGAGATCCAACAGATGAAGATGTATTGTGACAATCAAGCAGCTCTCCACATTGCCTCTAATCCGGTGTTCCATGAAAGGACCAAACATATAGAACTTGATTGTCATTTTATTCGTGAAAAATTGTTGTCTAAAGAAATTTGCACTGAATTTGTCGGGTCCAATGATCAACTTGCAGATGTGTTAACAAAGTCTTTAAGAGGACCTCGAATTGAATTTATTTGTTCCAAGCTTGGTACATACAATTTGTATGCTCCAGCTTGAGGGGGAGTGTTAGAATTATTAAGTAGTTGGTGGTTGGTGGTTGTTAGTAGTTGGTAGTTGTTGTTTTAAATGTTGTAATCCTATATATATATGAGATCATAGAGTGGAGTAAGCATCCCACAAAATTAAAAATCTTCTTTTCATTCTCTTTACTCTCTTAACTATTCCAAACAAATCATAAGAATCCAACATCACAGAATCCAGGTAACATCATGCATAATGTGAAAATATTTGTGAAAGAAAATGTGATTCAATGTTTTTCTCACATTCACCAATACAAGAAAAACAATTAAGACAAACATCAAAAGCCTTGATTAAATGCTAATAAACTCCCAATCCTTCCAACAATATTTCTTGCTCACAAGAGAAGATGTGGTTGGTGAGAATAAACTAAGTCCACAAAGATTACACCCACAAAATTTGAAGGGAACCATTGAACTCGTTGCAGTTTTAATTTTATTAACAAGGCGTCATTATTCAATTTTCTTTTTATTAACAAGGCGTCATTATTCAATTTCCTTTTTATTAGCAAGACGTTATTATTCACTAGTATCATGCTCCATGCAAACTATCTTAACCATACCATATATATAATGGCACAGTTCTACACAATTGCTCAGTGAGTATAGCTATATACATACGTACTTATATTTTCATTTCAAAGGTCAAAAATGAATTCGTCAATACCTTGCTGTATAAACTATACAGGCTTTTTAATCGGCTAGATAAGGTAATTTCCATTCCCGGGACATAACTGCAAATACAGAAGGAAACCTTTAAGAACTATAAAATTGTTTATACCATCGCAATTTAGTAGTCAGAAATAAATTATCGTTCATAAAACACACAAAAATATAGTTGACCATTTATTTGTCATGGACAATATCAGAATGTAAAAGTGGTAAATGATACTGGTCAAAATGAACATACGAAGCTGATATAATCATTTCTCGCTCAAGTGCTTCTTCACAAATTACCAATGATGCCAAAGCCAACCCAGCATCTTGTACAACCTTCGGTTTTGAACATGTCTCTAGATTATTCCCAATACTACTGAGATAGTTAGCCCGTTTTCTCCTATCTAACAATATATCAAATGGAACCACAGCTTCCAAAAGATCCTGAAAAGTAAAATTAAAAGAAGTGATGTAATTAAAATGAAAAATTTGTTCTCACCATGTCCCAAGAATTGTTGAAGCAATGAAGATGTAACATTGCCTTACTGCCTCAGGAATTACTTACAACAATAAATCATCAACGTATCAGAAAACAGGACAAGGGTTTACCAAAGATTCACTTCGGATAGCCACCTTAACGTTATCTTTTGAATTTTTTTGCAACTTTAATAAACTTTGAACAAAATATATTTGATGATAAGGACTAAAAGAACGTGTTTCATCTGGCTTCTTTTTAACTTCAAATATACTTTGTTTACTGAGCTACATATAAGATATTAAGTACAAGTGAAGGTAACATCAGTTCATAGTTCGCATGCTTTCCAGTCTCACTTCCCATCCTCACTCATTTTTGTCTATTTTTGAAGAAAACAATTGGAACTTCTTCATGTAAAATAAGACAAAAATATATACGAGACAGTACAATCATTGAATTATTTTTACTCCTTCATATTTCATATCCAGGCACAAAACAGGCATTTTGGTGTAAATTGTTACAGTGGCAATAAGCACCATCATAATACAGAAAGCAACTACGAAAGGAAACCATACATCAGAATTTAATCACATCTCATGATCATACATATAATACAAACCCGGATATTAAGTAATGAACCCTTGCACTAAAAACTCTTACCTTCATACTCACATCCCCATTGAATGTCAAGGATCCGTTGTAGAAAGAAGTTGAACTGTTCTCATCCAAATGTATCAAATTGCCTTTTACAGAGAATCTTCTTGGGTTTCCTGTTCTGTTAGTGGGATTCCACATGGAAGCCAGATCAGCTCGCATCTTTTGAAATATTTGAGGCTGGTATCAAGGTACAAATACAAACACAGATGTGCCAGGGTCAATAAATTATAATAGTGCCAAAGTTATGTCATCTTGATAGTGCTAGCATTTTGTTAGTTATCTTAAATTTTGGGGTATAGACTCAATTTAATCCTATAAAAATCGCTTATATGGTGAGAGTTTTTCCTCACTAATATAGACTTTAATTTGGTTATACCGCTAGTTGAAATGTAAGATTTCTAACATACCTCTCCCTGATGACTAAACATCTCGACTGCGAAATTTGCCAGACTAGATATGTAAAGGTGGTTCAATAAGACGGTTGATGGCTTGATAGGCCCAAAAACAACTGTTGAAATAGACTCTAATATCATCTTACAATATGGATTTGAATCTAATTCAACCTCATAAATCCAGCCTGTAAGATGAAGGTTGACCCCACTTATTTTCTTTAATTTGGACATCTGACTAGTTAACATGGAATGTACAACTGTTCATATTCAGAAATTTAAATAGTGTAACTTTTACAATCATCCACTTTCATGTGAACAAAATATGATAAAATAATAAAGGTCCAGAAAATAGTTTAAGGAAAGTGAGCAGCTGTTTATAGGGATTGGAGGCCTTCACTGTTTCTTATTTTTGTCTGTCTGCTCTGTGTCTAAGGTTCTTACAACATTACATTAGTATAATTGATCACTCTCAAAGCAAAAGAAAAATAGAAACAATTTGAAGACCTGTAGAACAGCAAAGCATAAATCTTCAAGTTCAGCTTTCAACGCCCACAGACCCAATCTTGAAGCAAGTGAACACCAAATGATTAAGGTCTCCTCTGCAACAGCTTGAGCTTTTTGCAATGGCAGAGCATAACTGCAGAGAGAGATAGTGTCACCCAATAAAAATGACCTATGCAACATAACTTAAAATCTGTTTAGCCAAAAAGTCAAAAGGCCCCATATGGCTTAACTTTGTTGGTTAAAGGTGGCTTATGTAGCAAGGACGGAGGTAAATATTTGCTACCAAAAACCATGAAGAATTGAGACGGAATAAGATTAAAATATTTTTTGTTTCATCTTCAAATAACAATATATATGAAATGAAGGACCAGAAAGGGGAAAATTAAAGAAGACCAACAATAATAGGGTATAAAAGGAAAGAATTTAAGAAGCTCAGAGTAGGTACATTGTTCTCATGTTGTGAAGACGATCTGCAAGCTTGATGAGCACAACACGAGGATCATCTACCATTCCCAAAAGCATTACTCGTAAATTACTCGCCTAGCAGATTAGGAATGTAACATATTAGAAAACTCGGCTGCTAATTCCATCACTCAGTATACCACGTTTTACAAATTTCAGAATGCATATAGTTTCAATATTATCTTGACCAACCATCAGATGCATTATATGGATATTTATATATATATATACAAAAGTTGTTCCATTGATCTGTTTTTTGGAGGCTTAGTATCATCATTGTGCATAAAACTGACCCACCTCAAGCTTCAATAAGAACAAGTATTAAATATCTATAATAAAGAAAGAGGATGGTATGATTTCTCTTCACACATTAATCTTTGAATGGTTTAAAAATCGTGGTAAGCATGCATTGCTTTCAGTGTATTTTGATAGTGATTAATGTGATACCAAAGTATACTTGAAAGTGTCAGGAGCAAATTGATACATATCTCAAATGAAGATTATGTACCTCTTCTTGGCCAAGGACTCCCTGGTTTACACTTACCCTCCGATGTCTGCGTAATAGCTGCAAAGATAATGCATTATTGTATAATATGGTAATAAAAGAGAACAGAAACAATCTCCAGCGTTTTTAGGAGAATTGATCTTCAAGCATCTAATCCACAAATGCGATGAAACAAAAGAATTGTCACTAAACTCTTTCAGTATTTCACCCTACTAGTGCATTAGTTGAGATAACAGAGATTAAGATTCCTATAAACTTGAGATATTGGGTACATAGTTGAAAATGGTCTACAGATTCATAGTACCCCATATTGAAATTTATTTCAATCATCAAAAATGGGGCAGCTAGGTAATAGATAATTTAATACCATGTCAAAAACCAATACAAGCCAAAAGCTATAAAATAAGTTTGTGAGATGAATGAATACAAATACTTTTATATTTTTGTTTCAGTTGCAAATTGAATTCTAAAATTCTAAAATCTAGCAGGTAAACTATAATGCGCTTCCCACCTCCTTCAAGATAAAAAAATAAAAAATTAGAAAGAGACATTCTTTATTCTTTATGATACCTGATTAATATAGCTTAACCTTGAAACACTAGCTACCAACTTGACCACATCGTCCCCAAATTCTGCCTGAATGTCCTGCAGACTTTGGCAAGTGTCATCAACCACGTCATGTAAAATACCAGCCACAACAGTGTCAACAGCCTGAAACAGAGTTTCACGATCTCAAACAAAGTAGTAAAGATGCAGCTCAAAGTAGTAAAGATTCAGTTTAGCTGTCTCAGTAACGTCAGAGGCTAAATCTGGTACAAAGAAAAATCAATATCTTCAAATAATTTTTCAATCAATTGAGATGTGTAACAAATGTATGGGAGCTTTCGTGGAAACAGCAGACAAATTTAAAAAAATTTCCCCAGTATAAATAGTTAAAAACATTATCCAATAGTTTAAATGTCAAAACTAAAAATTATGGTAAATAAGATATTGCTATGTATCAATTTAATTAATAATACTATGTCAAGTTTAGTGTTCTACTATTTCTTCAGAAATGTTGAAACATCATAAAAGAAGACCCTCCCCAGTATGTTTGTTGAAATTTATGGTGTATGTACAGATCTATATGTTCTGACTAATGAGACTGTCATTATACGCCTGGTTAAATGATGTTGATATCATAATCAAACTTATCAAATTATAACTGAGCCTGCTAATTTGTTTGTTCCTTAATGGTATGCATTCTCCTGAGTATGTTGGGTGATGAAAGGGGGTTCAAGAGGAAAAGGAATCAGCCAATGCCTTCCTTGTTTTTCAGAAATTAAAAAAATATCATAACAAATCCATTCACTATCACTAGCTAATCATTGGAGTTCATACTCGTTTACCACTTGATGGAACCAACGCAGCCAAAATTCTTCCTGTGTGGATACAATGTGTTAAATAAGGTTCTCCTGTCTTCCGCATTTGGCCACGGTGTGCTTTTCTTGCAAATGCTATAGCCTTCTGTACCTGCCTTCACACATAAGGTGTTTTAATGATGTAACAAGAGAACATACAAGTCATAACACAGCACAGTAGAGATATTAAACCTTTGCGTCGTTAAATATAGGATAACCAGTAACATCTACTCCATCCACCGTCACGGTACCTGCATGTTATAAATTTTGTTAATAAGAAAACTTGCGAATAGACCGACCCTATCGTGTAATGACAAAACCAGCAACAGAAACTTTCAGCAGCACGCAAAGAAATGTGAATTGCATATCTCAGTTAATTATTTGACTTGATGCTACCAACTTGAAATATATAATTTATAAAACATAATAAATATATAATTGTAACTTTGTATCCGTTGCCATCTACAGCAAAAGTCTTCAATCCGCCAATTCGTGAAATAAAAATAGTCACAAGCGAAGCTTTAATTTGGCATCAGAAATCATATCAGCATATTAGCAACCTATCACATTCAAACGCAACTGTGCAAGAGAATTTACAAATAAAATAAAATAAAGAGAGAAAAGCAGAAGAAGGTGCGGAACCTGGTTGCTCCTGCAGTTTGGGCCATAGGAAATCAACCTTGGTAGAAAGACAAGCGCCGGAGGCAATTGCGACAGCGGTGACGGCGACCTGTGTGATGGCGGAAGAGACGGCGCTATGGACGGAGGCGGCTTTGGCAGCGGCGGCGATTACGTTATCGGAGGTGAGAACAGGAGTGAGAGATGTGGGAACAGCGATTTGGTCAAGCAAACAGCGAAATCTGTAACGGTGAGGTTTGAAGGATCGGAATCTGCTTAGAAATGGAGATTTGTTCTGAGCTGCTAACATTGTGGAGCGTTGGCATGAGAGCACGCTCATGCTCATCGTTGTTTGTTGGCGAAGTAAACAGTGATGATTGAAGGAGCAGTTATTTTCCCGGGAAAATGGTGACAGAGAGAAGATGAGTGGTTGAAAGGGGGAAATGAGAATCCATGGCTGACGGGTGCTGATTTTCTGATTGAAATCTCATTTTGTATTTTAGTGCACTGCATCCCTTCTTCACCACTTGCTCTCCCACACTTCTTTTCTGGTGGATACCATGCCTGAATATATATATATATATATATATATATATATATATATATATATATATATATATATATATATATATATATATATATATATATATATATATATATATATATATATATATATATATTATATATATATATATATATATATGTGTGTGTGTGTGTGTGTGTAAAATTTAATTTTAATAATAGAAAATAAATAATGACTGTATACAACATTCTAATTTATATATCATCATATCACAATTTTTTGTTAATATATTTTCACAAAATTATTATAAAAAAACATATTATTTTAGAGCATAATTTATAATTAAATTACATCTTAACATAATTTTACTCTTATATTATTATTTTTTTCAATAAGATAATCCTTCTAAGTAAAATCTATCAATAATAATAACATAGTTAAAGAAAATGACAAATCAAACATTAAATTCTTTTATTTAAGGATCTTATGCAAAATCTGATAATATATCTTAATTATAAAGTAGTGGTTCATAATTGTTATGAACTATTAATATAAAAATAATTATATAATTTATTTAATTGAAATATTATTGACACAATCTTTTAAGATAATTATAATAAAATTTTAAAGTTTATTAAACATAATAATAATTTATAAAAAAAATATAAATCATGATTCAATAATGTTATTCAAAATAAAAAACATATTGTGAAAATTAGCAAGCATAACATTATTCTCAATTGAAAAATATGACATTATTTTTACTTCAAATATCAAAATAATAACTTTATAGGATTTTTTTCTCCTTACAAAATATTAAATTCTGCATCAAGTATACAAAAAATATGAATATGTATTTTTTTTTATTTGTAGATAGAATAGAAAAAAAAAAAACTCCTGTCATGTCACTTACATTTCAATAATTTTTTTAAAAATATTATCGAATTATTGATTGTTGAGAATGATTGATAGTGTTCATGTCACATAGAGACCAAATTCGATATTTTAATGCTCAAATTTATGGTGCAAATGAATGGAAGAGTGAGACTCGGCAATATTAGATAAATAAATGTTTTTCTCAATATAAAATTAATTTGTAGAATCTTTTTATATAATTTCATCAATTTTTATTTTTATATTAGATTTTAAATATAAATAAATTTATATTTCTAACAAAATATATATATATATATATATATATATATATATATATATATATTCAATGGTAATGTAAAATTAATATTTAGCTTAGTATCTTTTTATTTTTAGTTTATATTTTTATGGAAGAAAAATAATATTATTTGTTTGAAACTATTAAATATAAGATTATGCTAAATAATATTTACATTTTTATTAATTTAAAATCATATTTTTTATTAAAATTTCATTTAAATTACTTTAATTAAAAAAGTATCTTTCATGTATTTTTATAAAATGATATTCATGTTTTATATTTTCAATAAAGTGATGCTTATTTTATTTTATTTTTTAAATATCACATGATTAAAGTTTAATATAAATATATGAAAATTAAAAATTTAAACACAAAAGATATATATTTTTATACTTTATAAATAAAATAAAGAAGGTGAATGTCATTTTATTGAAAATATAAAAAAATAAATTTATACAATATTAAAAGGTGAATATTGATTAAAAAAAATTAAAGAGTATAAATTTTATTCTATTGAAAAAATTAGAAAATAAATATATATTTCAAAGCTAATTTTTTGACATATACTCAATGAAAAAATATTTATATTTTTTAGATAGAAAAAGACTAATTTAATCCGTGAACAAAAAACTGTAAATTTAATCCGTGAACAAAACTACAAATTAGTCTCTGAATATTAAAACTTAATTACAAGAATAGTTCATAATGTATTAAATTAGTCTTTAAAATTATATTTTAATAATAATTAGAATAGGATATAACTGATAACTTTTAATATTTAAAGACTAAATTAGATTTTCGTTCTTCCAATAGTTGTATTAATAATTGCATATTCAAAAACCTAATTCATTGTTTACCTCAAATTAATCATTTTTCTTTTTTTCTTTCATTTGTTGTATATTCAATGGAATACTAATTTTAAATGTGGGGAAAAGTGTATTAGCATTTTGCCACCTATGCCCTTAACTTGTGGACTGAAAATCAGCCACGTGACAACTCTAGAGGGTTCATTTTAGTGTTTATTTATGCATATATTTGAGAATTAAATTTAAAATTGTAAAAACAAAAATGATTTAAATAAGCTTTTAGTTTAAAAATAAAATAAAAGGATACTGTAAATATTTATGATATTATTTAACTATAAATTATTATATTGAAAACGTATTTACCTAAATAATAACTTATTAGTAGTTGATAAAATAAACATTTTTTTATAAATATGTATTTTAAAAATTATTAAAATTTTAACTTAAGATAAAAATATAAATAATAAATAAAATAATGCTATTTTTCATTAATTTATTAGAAATTTTTTCATTTATTTTCTATAATTGTTTTTCTTTCATTTCTTTTTCATCAAACGGAATTTGTTTTAAAAATGATTGATAATGATAATGAATATTTTTTTTAAAATATAATTATTTGTATTTAAAAAATAAATAAATAATTTTGGAAAACGGAGATTTATTTTTTATTTTACCTGTTTTTATTGTATGATTAATTTTGTTAGTAATAACTCCTTCTTATATTTATTTATATTTAAATTAAATAATTTTTTAACAAAATATTAATTATTTTGTTTTGAATTTCTCTTCAAAAAATTACATCAATGTTTGCAGAGAAAAGTAATATATTTATTAGAAGAGTGAGATTAACAATACATGTTTAAACTAACAATAGAAAAATAGTTGAACAGAAAGGAAGGCACTTGAAATTGGGGAGAAAACAAACAGGAAAAAACACTGTTTTGAAAAAAGTAAGGAATGGGTTGGAGAATGAAACATGGTGAAGGGAAGAATGAATCTTTAAGAATGAAATAACACGCAAGTGGGTATGAACCACTGGGGATTGCTTCTTCTTTCTCTGCATGTTCTGTGGAAGTGAAAAAGAGAGTGTCAGAGAGGGGGTCCCGCAAATTGATCAGCCTTTAAAAGGAAAATGACTCTGCAACGGTGATTTTAAGCTATTCATAATGATGGGTTTTGCGCGATCTAATCTGAACATGGATGTGAAGCAGCGATTGTTGAGGTTTCTTTTCTATTCCATGTCTCTGTTTCTGCGACTACTGCAACTCCTCCAAATGTTTTGCCTCAAATTCAACTGTTTTCCTTGGTATCGGAAAGGGAAAAACAACACTATCATCACTCTCCCTCAAGCCTTTTCACTTTCCTCTCCCACTCCTCAATGGCCTCAAGGTTATTTTCCAACACATCCTTCAACAAACTTTAACTCTAAACTTGTTGTTTCACATATTTTCATTATTATATATTATTATTATTATTATTGATACCATGATTTACAATTGCCTTTCTTTAAATCAGTACTTTTTTTAGGAAATTAAGTGCATATGGCATATTCGAGTCAAAATTTAGGTGCAGTTTGTTTAGTGATTTTAGTTTTGTTCTTTGATCAGAATTTAATCTCCTCGGGAACTTGTACTTCGAATATTTTTCATGGGCTATGTGATAGAACTTCAATCTTGATTAGAGAATCATACAATATTTTTAAGGAACTGTGTAATATATGTACTGTATGTACAAACTATATAAAGAGAAACTATACAAAGACAATATTGGGTATGTTTGGGTTGCTTGTGTCTCTAGATTAGTGATTAATTCTTGCTGTGATTATGTGTATGCAGTCACAGGACAAGGTTTTGCTTCTGGAATTGTAAACCTCGGTGAAATAGAAGTACGCAAGGTCACTGGGTTTGAGTTTGTTTGGAATAGCAACATTGGAAAGCCTGTTGCATTCTATAAACCTGTTGGAATACCAGATGGGTTCCATATACTTGGTCACTATTGTCAGCCCAGCGACAAGCCGTTATGGGGTTTTGTGCTTGTTGTTAGGGAAGTGGAAAGTGGCTCATCTGAAAGAAGAAACCGTGATAAATTACCAGCTTTGAAGAATCCTCTTGATTATAAGTTGGTATGGTGTTCCAATGCAGGAAGAAAGGAATTGCCGATTGGTTCTGCATACTTTTGGGCGCCCGAGCCTTCTGAAGGCTACTGTGCACTAGGCTATTTGGTTACTAACCGGCCCGACAAGCCCAGTTTGGATGAAATGATCTGTGTTCGTGCTGACCTGACTGATAAATGTCAACCTTACCGTCTGATGCTTGATGCTGCTTCTGTATATCCTCAGTTTCCATTTCAGGTGTGGAGTTTGAGACCTTGTGACCGTGGCATGCCGGGGAAAGGAGTTTCTGTAGGGACTTTTTTCTGCACTAGTTGTTGGAACAAGGGAGAAGAGCTACCTGTTGTGTGCTTAAAGAACTTGAATCCTCTGCTACCAGCAATGCCACGACTCCACCAAATACACGCACTTATAGAGCACTATGGTCCTACTATTTTTTTTCATCCTGAGGAAGTTTACTTGCCTTCTTCTGTTGATTGGTTTTTCAATAAGGGAGCCTTGTTGTACAGGAAGGGCGCATATACAGGAGAGGCTATTGATGCAGCTGGCTCAAATTTGCCAGGTGGGGAAACAAATGACGGGGAGTATTGGATAGATTTGCCAAGTGATGATAGAAAGGATTTTGTCAAACATGGGGACTTGAATAGTGCTAAGCTTTATGTTCATGTGAAGCCTGCTCTAGGTGGAACTTTTACTGATATTGCTATGTGGGTGTTTTTCCCTTTCAATGGACCCTCCACTCTGAAAATTGGAGTTACAAGTAGGGTTTTTAGCAAGGTTGGAGAGCATGTTTGTGACTGGGAGCATTTTACCCTTCGTGTATGCAACTTCTCTGGAGAGTTGTGGGGTATATATTTCTCACAGCACAGTGGTGGTAAATGGGTGGATGCCTATGAATTGGAGTATATTAATGGCAATAAAGCTATTGTCTACTCATCAAAGAGTGGACATGCAAGTTACCCCCATCCTGGAACATATATCCAAGGGTCTTCAAAACTTGGTATTGGCATTAGGAATGATGCTGCTCGTAGTAATTTGTATGTGGATTCCAGTGTTCAATACGAAATTGTTGCAGCTGAGTATCTAGGAGATGCTGTCACAGAGCCTCAGTGGTTGCAGTTTATGAGAGAGTGGGGTCCTAAAATAGTTTATGATTCAAAATCTGAGTTGGATAAGATAATAAACACTCTACCTCGGGGGCTTCGAAATCCATTTGGTTGCTTCATTAAAAAGCTTCCAGTGGAGCTGTATGGTGAGGAAGGTCCTACAGGGCCAAAAGAGAAAAATAACTGGATAGGAGATGAAAGATGGTGAACTTGTATGAAGCTCTTTATACACATCAAACGAATTGGCCACATGGCAAGGTCTTTTTTCTGGGCCAGAAATGTTGTAACTATATGTGGTTGTACATTCATATATATATATATATATATATATATATATATATATATATATAGAGAGAGAGAGAGAGAGAGAGAGAGAGAGAGAGAAAAGTTATATATTTGTATTATAGTTTTGGGTGGTGCTTCTATTATTATTTATTGGGTTTGGAGGAGGAAGAAAGTTCAAAATTAGGAATTGTTGTGTGGGTATTTGTGTTAGATGAGAGCTCTTGTTGTACTGACAGTGTCTTATGTGCTACTGTGATTTGTTATCCAAACCAAAAAAAAAAAATTATGCACTTTGTTTGTGTATGCCAAATATTGCATAATAAAAATGTGAGGATACGAAGATTTTAAAAATGTAAAATTCACATTACAAAAGTAAGAAGTCAAAGAAATGCTCTCGTTGAGAGTCGAACTCAAGACCTCCCGCTTACTAAACGGGTGCTCTAACCAACTGAGCTACGAGAGCCATTTGATTATATTGCTTAATGTTAATTTATCTATTTTTGTATCAAAATAAATAATTATGGCAAAAATAATAAATGTTATCAATTAATAATATTTTCAAAATTTAAAAAAATGATTTTTTTTTTCACTCAGGATTCAAGGAGACTGTAGATTTTGATTTATGATATTAAGGACACTATTAAGAGAGATTTTGGTAATTTATTACTATCAATTTAAGGACAATATTATACAGTTGTCTGTTACCTCTTACTCATATTTAATTTTGATCTTCGTTAGATTGTCCTCTATTTTTAATAGATTAAAATGCACTATTTATAAAATTTGTTTGAATTTGATTTTAATACACGCTTAGTAAAAAAAATATATAAAAAAACAGCTCACTATTTCTGAATTATATTTCACATGGTTAACACTGAATATCATTATATCCATCTTTCACTTCTCAATCAAATACTAACGCTTTTTTGTTTGTATTAAAATGGATGTAACAATTATGAAGGGGAAGAGAAGAGACCATGACATCGAATTCTTCCACTCAAGACACCTAGCCTTTTTTTTTTTTTCTTTTACCCGAGAGTGAATTTGAGTAGATTTATGGGAATCCTTAGAAAAAAAATAATGTATTTAAAAGAATTTAAATAAATTTATTGTAAGTAACTGAATATATAATAATTGAATAATAGTATTTTTAGTAAAAATTATTAAATTACATAAAATGGATAAATTAAGTAAAAATTAAAAATGTAATTATTATTTTTTAAATTAGATATAATAAATTTTAATTAGAGTGATTATTACATTAATTTTAAAATTATTTTTGTTTTTTAATTTATCAATTTTGATAAATATAATATTTTAAATTCATAATCTAATTTTAAAAAGAAGAAACTTTATTTTTTATACTTTAAAAAATGTAATATTTATTTATGAATTCTTATTTTAATAAAATTAATAAAAAAGTTAAATATAATTTTAATATTTTTTATATCTGAATGTAATATTAATATTTTTTATTAAAATCAATAAAATGATTAAACTTTTTTTCTAAAAATTATTTATTAAATTTTAAAATAAAAAATTATTTTCCCGGTGTTTTAATTTCTATACATCTGACTAAATGGTATCATAATATATATATATATATATATATATATAATTTTATATGTAAATTATTTTTTATTTTATGTAGTATATAATATTAAATTTAAATAAGTATAATATTTAATTTATAATTTTTTTTAATATTGAATATAGTTAATATTATTTAACACAATTTTAATTATAATTAAAAACATTTAAAGTTATAAAAATACGATTTTAATTAAAAGGAATTAAAACTACATTATAATAGTGACATAATCGATTATATTATAATAGTGAGATAATCGATTATGTATTCGTATATGAAGTTGTTTTAAATAATTTATTTTACTTTCTTTACAAATAAACGTATTTATTTCCTCAAATGTGAAAGTTTTCCACCGCATAACACCCACACATAAATCACTACAAACAAATCTATGCAAATTCACAAATTCAAACAATAATGCATCTATCTAAATCTCTCCTCACAAATCAGAACAGTAAATTGCTAGAAGCAAGGCTTAGATTACCATAAAACGAAATATTTCGCCTCAATAGAAAAGCGTTCATCCAATTAGAAAACGAAAGTATATATTTAAGTTATAGAAAATGTTTTTAAAACTGGACCGGACGAAAGTGGTGATAAGTTTAAGGTTTAAATATTTAATTAGTCCAATTATATTTAATAAAATAATATTTTTATAATAGAGTAAATATATAAAAAATTATTGTCATAATTACCATAAATTATAATAAAAAGTATATATATATATATATATATATATATATATTAGAAGATGAAAAAAAGATAATTATTAAAATATAATAAAATACGTACTATCTAAAATTGACATAATTATGATATAAAAAAATTAAAATATATTATAATTTCTATAAAAAAATATATTAAAAAAAGTTAATTTTAAATTTATTTTTATCAAAATTAGTTCGACCAAAAATTCAATCGATTTTACTGATTTTTTCCTGATTTTTCTAATTTTCTCCTGATTTTTCTAATCTTATCTTGATTTATCGATTTTTAATCGCTTCCCCTTAGATTCAGTTTTCAAAACCGTGATTATAGATATAAAGACAATTTTTTTTATTACATATATTTATTTATAATATTTTTATAATTTTATATACATAAATTTTCTTTACTTGCTATACAATCAAAGAGAAAATAAAAATCTTTCTTCTCTTTCATTTTCATCCTTATCAAGCAAACTAAAAAATCATCTTAATTTCTACCCTTTTTTATACTCTTTTTTTTTTCTCTTCATAAACCAAACATAATTTTCCTAATTATTAACATTGAGAAGTCAAGTTCAACAAGGCTTGAATTATTGTCATAAAAAATTGCAAAATCAGTACAAGTATTAGATCTTGACTTTTCAGACCAAAACAACATGAAACTAATGTATTACATTATTAGTAAATATTTGTATAAGAACATAAATTGTAGGAAAAATCGAAGAAATAGCAAACCATTTGATAATTTCACAAGCTTAATATTTTGACACATCCTTGATTTATTAGGCATGTACATTAGCTCTAAAGTGAGGAATTCGTTTCAGAGGATCCAAATCTTAATATTTCTATGGCATCAACTAACGATCCAAAAGATATGTATCCACAAACAGAGGCATCAATATGACAATAGAATTTGAGCGACTCAAATTTGTTTTCATTCGTCATGCTCCAACTTCTATACACTGTGCAAAGTTTTATCTAAGCTTCAAAGTCAAAGCATCTATCTACTTCGTCAGGAATAGATAAGAAGGTAACCTAATGCAACCTAAAAAATTTGATTACTTTTTTACAACATCCTTGAATGAAACTGACCCTACACGTTCCTGAATGACAGAGGCTAAAATACCTGCAGAATACAATACCCATGATGATGGAATGGTAAAAAGGAGGGTAACTTAATTATGAAAACTGTACAGTAAGATAGTTCAAACCTAGACTAGAAGGATGAGGTTCCTAGTGAAGAGAACCCAGCAGCTTTTCTTTCCTTCAGAGTTGAAGCCAACCAGTCTAAGCCCTCATAAAGGCCATCTCCCTTTAGTGCACAAGTGCCTTGTATGTGCCATTTTCTGTTCTTTAGATCAAAAAGACCTAGGCCTTCACATACTTCCATTGGTGTCATTGCCCCTCTCTACAAAAGAAAAAGAAAATATTCACAATTATAACCACACTACAGCGGAAGGAAAAACTCAAATTGTTTGGCCAGAGTATTTTGTTCAAGAGTAAAAGACTGCTTTACAGGATATTGATGATTAATAATTTTATAAAGCATATAATAAACTATCGAGCAATTCAATTCAAAAAGTTCATTTTTGGCACCTCCTTGGTATATATTCCTTGCAAAAGCATTTTATCAATTCCACAAGTTACTTTCAGCCATCAACTTGGATCTAGCAAAATATTTTCAACCAGTTATTTATACTCCCCATAAAAATCAATCTGTGAAAGGGTAAACACAAGCCTAAAATTGGCATGAGTTGATAGCAGTATCCAATTATCAGTATCCCTTCCTAATAGCAGAAGAAGAAAAAATAGAAATAACGCCACATACTAATCCAAAAGAACGTGTTGAACTTTATACCAGCATACAAGATGAAACTAGAATTTTTATTGATTTTTGAATGGTGGACATTGTCTAAACCTTCATTAAAGAATAAGGATATCAAAATGGTCCAGGCAGGCTATTTGGAATATGGATAAGCTGATCTAATTCTACCATTTGCTGAAATTTAATCACAAAGAAGGGGGACCGGCAACCGGCAATGACCATAATGCTGACTATTTTCCCAAAGAGCCTCTAATCCCATTACCCCAAGAGTTGTATGATTCTATAATCTTTAATTGTTAGGCGCAATGTAGCTCATGAAAAGTTTAATATTCACCTAGTGGCATAAGGCTTTTCTGTTGTAGTTATTGTTGTTCACAAGATTTAAGATATCACTGAGAACAATTCAGAGACCTCCTAACTAATATCATACGACTGTAATTGTTGCAATGAATTTATTAATATAAAACCGAAAGGAATATGTATCAGTATATTATAAACAAATTAAAATAGTAGAAATTCTGACATCCTCTTGGAATAATCAGTAAACAATGTCAATCAATTACAAGTTTTGGCTGCTGTACGATTTCCAGTCACAGAGATAACTTTAATGTCAGGACATGAAACTAAAAACACATAAAAATGTAACAAAGACATACCAGGTCCTGTTTGTTGGCAAACACCAAGATGACACTGCTGAGCATAAATGGGTCATTTATGATTGCCTGCAAGAAATACATGAATCAATTCAACGTACGATTAGAATGACATACACAGTCAGTCATGAAAGTGAAATTTGATTTTATCACCTGAAATTCCTGCTTTGCTTTACCAATTCTCTCACGGTCCAGACTATCAACAACATAAATCTGCAAAATGATCACATTGACAAAAATATCAACCTTGCTAGCTTATGCCATTTAAACCTTTCTTCCCAGGCCTACTTATCGAAAGAAAGAAGGAATTTTTCACAAACAACCAGCTTAACATAACTTTTCTGTAACGGAGATAAAGCATGAAAATTAATTCTCACCAGACCATCTGTGTTGTTAAAGTAGTGCCTCCAAAGTGGCCTTAGTTTCTCTTGCCCTCCAACATCCCAAACTGTGAAAATAACATTCTTATACTGAACTTTCTCTACATTGAAACCTGCAAGACAATATAAATTTATAAACCTAGAGAGGAAATAACATCCCAAACGCGGTTGCATGTATACGTTTGTATTGTTGATTCACTTCACTTGTACCCATTGCTAATAGATATGTTTTTCCTGACAATCAAGAGAGGAAATTCTCCTTTCATCCCAGAAAACTTATTCCAACAACACCCAGTTTCATTGCAAAATAACTTCGCCATGTCAATACCAAGTCAAGAGAGCAAATATGCAACTCTGCTAAAACTCAAATAAACGAAAACAAAGAAACAAAAACCAAGCAGATAACCAAGAAATAAGGATTTAAAAAATAAAAACACAACATCCCTTAGTCTTTGGACATACATGAAGTCATACACTGAATTGAAGGATGAACAAATATGTGTTGGGATTTTGCAATTGAAATAAAAACTTAAAACTTATAAATAAGACCTAACCAATCTACCCACCAATTGTAGGAACTGTGGATAAAACTTCTCCAATGTGAAGCTTGTAAAGTATAGTTGTTTTGCCAGCAGCATCAAGACCAAGCATGACAACCTTAACAATCAGATCAGGGAAATAACAAATAATTAGTGCTGAAATAAACATTCACCAAGCAGAAGAAGAAGAATAAACAAGAAGGGTAGCTAGCAATTACCCTCATGTCGGTGTTGCCGAAGAAGGTGTCGAAGAGCTTCCGAAAAGCTTGACCCATGCCGGTGTTTGCGTTTGAGTATCTATCAGATTATGAGAGCTGCGATATTTCAATTTGGGTTTCCGTCGATTTTGCAAATTGAGTTGAGAATGAATGATATTTTATCAACTTTGAACGATCAAACCAACTTTTCTGCCTTTTGGCTTCTTCCACCATTCCAAGAACTTTCTCTCCATGTAAGCACTAGTAAAACAAAAATTGAAATTGAATTTTGACACAAATATTTTGATATATTTTAAATGAACTAAAAATATTTTCATGCAATGATGTAACATATTTAATTAATTAATTAATATAATATATACACAAGTTTTTAATTTAGTTGTTGCATGTATTATTACTCTTAATGTTGCTTTTATAGTTTATTGTTATTATATTTCATGTATGGTAAAATTACTAAAACATATAATAACGAAATTAAAAAAATGTTACTTTTGTAGAGCGTAAAATAATATTGTTTCATTTATATTATAATTATAATAATAACAATAACAAAGGGTGTGACTAAATAAATACAAATACCATGTTAATTTTATAGTTTGAGGACAATATATAAGTAAATTTTTTAATCTCTAAATTATATTAAAAAATTAAAAATATATTTTTTAAAACAGATAAATATTTTGTGATATATATATATACACACACACTATTGTAGGTTTTATTTCAAATAATTGTCTTCAAAAAGTAAATTTACAAAAATCATCTGAAATCATTATACATATGTTAGATACATGCTTTGATTTGTTGTTCTTAATTGAACAATCTCCCCTATAATTGTCATCAATTGTAGAGGACCTATTACCTAATATAGCTATAAATTATATAACTAGTCACATTAAAGATGATTTTGTAACAAAATGTATGCTTAAAAGATATAAATATTTTCTATGATAAGCTTAGAAAAGAAATTCCTCCACATTTATTAAATTAAAAAACATGTATTCATGTCAACTGTTGAGGACGTAAGAGATTGGTAATAATTAAGGAATTAGTTAATAAAATAATAATTTTAAGTTTTAAAATCGTAGACATGATAAAAATTTAAAAAATTAAATCAACATAATAATCAAATAAAATGTCATCCAAGTTCCACCTAAAAAAATTAGAATGCATTGGTTAATTTTTTCTTCTTCAAATTTTATACAAACCCTATAAAAATTATTGAATAATATTAATATTAAAATAATAATATTTTAATTTATTCAATTGTTTTATTATAAATTTTTATTTTAAAATATTAAATAATTTAATCTGTTTTAAAATCAAGTCTAAAAAAATAAAAATAATTAAAATTTAATAAAAAAATTATCATTATTAAAAGTCTTAACTAATAAAAGATATGTTAAATTGGATAAAAAACAATCAACCCAATTCAATACAAGATTTTTTTATTAATTTAGATAATAGGTTTGATGAAATTTTACACACCGTGTATAAAATAATTAGTTTTCAAAATCTTGACCTAATAATTAGTTTTGATTAAATTGTTCAAAAATAAAACAAATTTAACAAGAATTTTTTATTGATTTAGATTAACCTTACCGGTACTGAAAATACAAGTGGAAAAGATAGTATAAGTTACTTTCAAACGGCGTCCAAAGCAGTTAGAAAAGACTTTTCTTTCCATTGGGAGGAAGGTGGCAAGTGATAATAATAATAATAATAATAATCATAATAATAATAATAATATCATGAAAACCATATATTAATGCAATCACGGTTACATCATTTCCCCTAAAATTAATTGGTGGAACAAAAAATATAAAATATCAAGCCATAGGTGTTTTCTGCACAAACAGCCAGAGGTTAGAAGGTCACACCTAAGGAGTCATCAATACTTCAAATTGAGTCATCCATCCTGTGATTCTAAAGAAAGCTGCCTTGATGAATTCCTCACAAATGACAACTATCATAACCTAAATTAGCAACTGCTCTAACACTCACCCTATTAGCAATCGCCCGACCAGTCAAACCTCTAAAATTGGAAACCATCCCAACATGATACATTGGGAAAAGCAAGAAAACAAAATTTTAAAGAGGAAAATGCTGCATGTATTCTCAAACAGTCTGGTATTTGATTGAATCAAAACCTGTGACACAAGTCAAAATGCCCCTGTGACACAAGTCCCATATAACCTACTATGCCCGTGACAAAGTCTCATATAACCACCTGCTATGAGTCAACCATTTCATCTTGCAACTCGCTTGGGGCAACAAGTCCTGGAATAGAAAGCATTCTTTGTCTTTCCCTCTCTCTCTGAGCTGCAACCTCTTCGGCATAAAGATCGTTGTTATCCTACGTAGGGGACATTTGATTTCATGAAAATTAAAAATGTAAATACGCAAAAGCTAGCAGAAATTTTGAACAACTATCCATTGTACATGCTTTGTTTAGCAAAAACATGATGCAGTAAGTTCAAACTTCCCAATTGTTTTACTTGGATGAAATGAGGTATAACACATAAAGCCTTACCTGAGCTGAAAATTCTTTTGACTGTACAAGAAAATCTCGGATGTGTGTTTTAAATACGGCAAGGTCATTTGTTGACTCAAAAAGTCCATTAACAAATTGGGTAACCTGTAAATTTCTTGAAATTAGTCATCTGTTCAGGCAAACGAAGGGGTTTATAGATCAATTGTGTCTTCTCAATTACCTCTGAAGCCGTCATGTTGGGAAATGAAGTGCTTAAAAGTTTTATTGTGAACTCACGAACAAAAGCTGCATTACTAGGGTAAGGATAAGGATTTGTAGCAGCATCCCAGAGAGGCTCAGTTAGGCAACCAGATTCGGCCTGATAAATGCCAAACTCTTCGTTATAGCAACTTTTCACTGATTAATAAACCAAAAATAAAAGTATGATTTTGAAAATGTACCAGACAGAACAAATGTTGAAGCACCAGGACATGGATTTTGAAGCCAGGCTTATGAAAAGTGTCTGTCAAGACAGCAAATATCTCTTGCTCAATTGTCAAAAAGTACGTCCGATAAAACTGATTACAGAACTCTGATACCTGCTTAATATATGGAAATGGGCATTAAACAAAAAAGGAGTATTAGTGAAAAACGAGGGAAAACTTGAGGGAGGATCAGAATCAAGCAGAACAGGAAAAGCGATGCACAATAACAAAATGAAAAACTAAGGAAAATAAAGGCACTTAATTATTTTAAGAAAAGCACTTCTTAACAAGCCAAGTAAATTTTTACATTTTCATGTTTTTGTTTAATTTAAAAAGAAGCAGTTATACGATTTTTTTAAGAAGCAAATTTTGATCTAGTTTGTTGAACTTAAAACAAGTGTTTCCAAAATAGGCAATTTTTAATATAAAGACTAAATAATTTTTTTACTTTTTCAACTTTGTTTCACTATTATTTTCGGAATGATAGTTAAAATCGAGATCTTACTAAATATCAGAATGGAAAGTATAGATTGTAATCCGAAGATCATAAGATCCTACTAAATTTATAAAATAAAATTCAGATATATGTTAAATATTTAACTTCAATTCAGCATAAGCAAACAAATATAATAAGCACAAAAACAGAATGTCAATAGATTTAATTAAATAGATTCGTTATGATGCACTGGAAGAGCTGTGTTCTCTTTATTTTAAAGGAAGCGTGGAGTCTATTGTTTTTAGGACACGGAAGAAAAGTCACTCTATTTGGGCCCAACCAGTATTGTGGAAGGACTCGTTATTCCTGCACCTCCATAGTTATTTCCAGTACTTAATACTTATCACAAAGGAAATTCGTAATCCAGAAAAGAATTTTGGAATGTCCCGCGTTGGTTGATTCAGACATATTCTGAATTGATGAATCCAAAATATTTTTTAAATCCCAAATTCAGCAATCCAATATTGTTTTCCAGATTGAACAATCCGGTAATTTTTTGGATCACCAATTCAAGAATTATGTGCAGTGTTGTTAATAGTGGGAGACAATTCATGGCTGCAAGAGAACAGAAAACGTCATAAAGGTTAAGGTAGAGAAGTTATGATATGGAAAAGAGAAAGAATGGTGGTGGGTGGCCTGAGGAGTAACGGAGGAGAAAAAGAGAAGGGAAGAGAAACGGCATGAAAATAGGTGGTGAGGTTGGTCACTTAAAAACACGTCAACACGATAGGCAAAGTCTTGCCAGCAGAGAGAGGAAAGAAGAACAACAGAAAAACAAGTATGAGAATGACAATTGTGTTGCCATGAGAGTGACAGTTGCCATAGCAATGCCAAAAGAATCCACAACCATCACCAGCTGCACAAGCTGAAGAAGTAACAGCTGCAGCACCACCACCAGTTGCCATAGCAATGCCAAAAGAATCCACAACCATCACGATCAGAAAATTGAACCAGTATCCACACCAACAACCAACCTGATAGGCACCAAAATAACCCCGCTTACACGCCAATACCAGCACTACAGCTACAGAGGATGGTTAGTAATGTGGTTTAGTTGTGTGACTCAATCTGCCGATAAGGCACCAGTTAGCACCAGATCTGGCATGACAAACAACATCAGAGCTCCACAATTTGAGCTCCTGATCTGGGTTAGGAATTTGATCAGCTTTCACTACACCATTGTACTAGTTCAACATTGCTTTCAAATTTTCGCACCACAATTCAACACGATGGAGAGTTTGCAGCACCCAAACAGTGGAGATGCCACAACGTCCATGCGATATAGACGCTGCAGCACCCACGCAACGAAGACAACAAACCCAAATGACAGAGATGTCATTGTACTCGCAGGACAAAATTCTCACACCACCCACAATAGAGATGTCACGTCCATGTGAGTCTTGATCTTTAATGATGACCCACTAAAAACAAGACCTAGAGGTGACGTGAATGGGAGAGGCTGAAGAAGATCGTATACGTGAACGATTTACTAACTTTATTATCTATGTCAATTTGGTCCCACTTATTTTAAAGTGAATCTATTTGACCCATTTAAAGTGCCATATAGCATTAGCGTGACAATACTTTACCATGGTGCTGACAAGACATGCCATGTGGCATATTTTTTATGATGTGACTAACATGTTGGGATATACATCATATACATTGATGCCACGTTCATCGACTTACAAAATTGATGGAAGGAACTATATTGATTCATTTTGAAAAATAAAATATCAAATTGACACTCAAAATAATGGTAGGACAAATTTGAAAAAAGTCAGAAGATAGTGGAAAAAAAAAGCTACTAGCCTAAAAAAATATAGGACTACCATATTAAAATAAACAAAAAACTGCTTTTTTAAAATAAGTATATTAGGCGAACACATAAAAAGGGCATAATTTTGCTTATTTAAATAAATTAGCACTTAAAAAAAAAAAAAACAAAAAGCCAGTCCCTTAACTGCTTCTGAATTAAGGTTTTTTTTTTTCAATTTCTTATTTCAGAAACTTTATTTTCAGTTTAAACAACTGGTTCAAAGCTTTGGAAGTCAAGTGTGAGATATGGACAAAATATATATACAAAGACCACACCTGAAACTTCTTCTGCATCTCAAACAACAGGTTCAGCCCAGTCTCAGCAATATTCCTTTCTGTATGCCGAAATGCCCATATTATTGAATCCATAACAAGCTTCAGTTGCTGAAACAGATTACAGACAATATCAGACTACAAAAAAATAAATATGCAAGAACAGTCACCATGAAGTTTAGACAAAATCAAATAAAGTGCCACACAAATAGCAGAGGCAGTGTGCAAGCAAGAAACACAACCTGACTTGACAGGCAGATCAAAGCAGGGAAACAATGGGTAGCTATGGCACGTAGTAATGAAAAGAACTTTAGCCGATGCTCTGGGTAATCTTCAAAATTTTTTGTAATCATCTGTGTAACAGAATAAAAGAATAGATACAAATCAGTTGATATCCAGGTGTAGATATCCAATAATTATACGCCATCACAATTCATCAATATAACAGGTTAGGAGTCAACAACAGAACTTCTAAATGGTGATAAACCAGTTTCTGTAAATTCATACATCGATTAACAAAAGTCTACATTTACCAGAATAAAAGGTCATTCAACTGGGGAATATAAGTGTGGGTTGGCAAAGCTTGAAGTCAATACAAGGAAATTATGATCAACTAGGGCATTCACATCCTAGCCAAATGACCGAATACAATTACCTCCAGTGTGCACTGGAAAACAGCTTCAAATATGCGTGGGACATCTTCAATCATTGCAGCTTTATATCTGCAAAGCATATGAGAGAGAGAGAGAGAGATCTAAGTGATACATTCTGTTTGTAATTAAAATAGAAAACATTTAGCATTCTTGAGCTTATTTTGGCCAAGGATGGACATCGGATACTAAAGGAGGACTATAAATGTAGAATTACAAATTTTTGCTTTCCATAAATTAATTAATAAAAAAAGTGAGAAATTTACATACTTGTTTACAATTGTGGCAAAAAGTGTCAAAACCTCTGATTCCCTTGCGTCAGGCACATTCCTGGCATAATCTCCTAAAACAGGATCCATCATTGGTGGCACAAAATGTTTTCCAATATGTGGTTGATCCTCAGCCTTGTCCAAGAATGTATCAATCAGTTTAAGTGTTTCTCTCTTAACCGAACTACATCAATAACAACACTATCAAGGTTAGCAGTAATCTGGTGAGTAAAAATTCAATCTAATATTAATCAAACTCACCGTAGAAGTTTCACATAGGATGTTCTAGAAGCAAAAGGTCCGCCCTCAGCAATACTTTTTGATATAAGCTCACTATACATTCTGTTGCAGGTAAAACATATTATTCAACATTTACTGGGGGATAAAAGAATCTAATTCAATACTTGTTGCAAAAACAAGTATCCATGTCAAAACAATATATGTACATTTCTGTCAACAGAATATACCTGTAAACATTCAACATGTCCAAAAAAATTAATGTGATCTGTGGCAGGAAATATGTTCCTAAAGCAGATGCAGCACTCGTGTTTGTCTGCAATTAAGAAGAGACTCAGGAAGTAAACCAAAAAAATTATGTTCTACCAATAATGAACACATGAAGGGTACAGGATACAAAATTTCCATTATGTTCCTTTACTAATAATGGAATGAACAACATGCAAGATAAAAAGAAACAATTCATCCCTTGACAAAGAGTCAAGACTTATGTCTAGTAACATTTAGATTTAGAAATAAAATATTACACAACAAATTAATTGAAGAACTGATTTACAGATGACAAGAAAGAACGAACATATAATTTCCACTTCAAAAGGCTTCCAAGCATGCAAAGTTGAAAACTCAAAAAATATACAGTAGAATCAGAAAAATTGATATAAAGTTGTACCTGCAATATACTAAGAACATTTCGGATTACATCTTGATCCTTCAGAAAATCAACATTTTCACGTGCCTTACTTATAATTTCCATCCAACTCTGCAGAATAATGAGCAGGATGAGAATTCATGTAAATAACATTAGAGATAAAGGAAATAAAGTGGCTTCTCAATCAAACAGATAACCTGATTTGGCATAACCATCAACTTTTGGACGTATTCATCTCTCTTCTGGACATCAGACTCTGCTTGAATCATGTAACCGACCTACAATATTATACAATTACTTAAATATATGCACAAACAAATATGAACGTAAAACATAAGACTAAACCTATCAATCAACTTAAGAGGAAAAATGGATACAGATTCATAGAACGAGTGTATTTGATGGGGTTCAAGATCGGCAATTGTATCTGGAAGGAGAGCAAGAAGTTCATTAAGAAATGGACCATTTTCTCCAACCTGACAGAATAAAGATCATGTTTATCATTATTATTATTATGTACATGGAAACAGAATATACTTGCTTTTGGAAGGATGGAGAAGGAATGAAATGTTACCTGGGTGATTACAAATTTACGCTTGCACTTCTGGACTATTTTCAAAAATGTATCGCAAGCCATATCCTAAAATAAGTTAAACATGAACAACATTATGCACAAAAAGCTATATACATAAGAAAAACCAGCAAAATGTATTTTAGCTGTTGTGAACAATATGAATAACTTGTTTGGATATCTCATGATATAAGAGACATCTGACAACTAACAAAAATAAAAACAAAGAAAACCTGAACACCAGGATGTGTCTCATGCATAAACTCGAACAACTTGTTCACAACAGTTTTAAGAAACTTCCAATGAGCTCTTAAAAACCGTGGATACTGCCCCACAACATACCTGCCAGAAGAAGAAACTGCACATTATTCAACAAAAGAAAAGCATCATTGAAAACAAAGAGCAAATGAATACACACACGTCACTTACATGATATTACTTGCAATAACAGCTTTGTTATCCTTTCCTTTTGTGATTTCACATAGATTTAATAAATCACGAATGACCATAACCAAAAATCTGTTTTCCTGCCACAGAACTAACATGTGAGTTTTATGTTTTAATAAAACAATCAATAAAAGAATCCACAAGAGAAACAAAGATATTTTCTAGGATATATGTAATTTAGCCCAATGGACTGGCACATTGTAATGGTTAGTCAGTTCTCCTTGACTAGAAAATCCAGCTGACTGCTAGCATAATCAGCTAGATAGAGCTATTAGGGTTCAGTTAAGTTTTAATTAGCTATCACATCTGTTTGCAACTGGATGCAACTGAACTAAAAATATCAATATCTGTAATTTTCTAATTTCATACAAGAATTAAAAAAATATATGTTGAATTATTTGACTCGAATTGTTCACACCATGAATACAAACAACATTAATCAGATAGGAAATTTATGTTAGACATGCATCGATTCAAGAAAAATAACAGAATAAAGCAACATTAAGGATGTCAATATATTTATATTTAGGACAAAGCAATTTAGAGTCCATATTACAAAACCAAACTTGATATGTACTAACAATTACAATGTATTCTAACAGAACATGGGCTTAACTGGCTCTAGTCCTGTCACCATGGTTATCAAATTCACATAAACTCTTGGGTCAAGAAATAAATCAATGAGTTGGATTCATTTGGCCTTTACTGGAGATATCTTCTCTACTGGGTCTTATATTATATTCCTTGGTTTCTATGTTATATTTCACTGTTATTTATTCATACTTAAAATATCTATAAAAAATAAACATTTAAAAATGTGAACAGAATTTTTAATTATATTATTTTATTAAAATTTATTTAAAGTACCATTGATTAGACTAGGCATTAAAAAAGAAAATTTTTGGTAGGACCATATGATCCTACAACTTACTATCTTTCACCCCTCTGCCAATCTTAGTAGGATTTCATTTTGACGACAACAGGGAGAACAATGTATATTGGATTGTTCACAATACCTGCTCTTCCATCATGGAACCAGATATAGATCCTATTGCCCAGCACAGGGTGTTCAAATTGTTCCACGTCCAGTCCTCACCACTAAGCTGTTTACTTAACTTTCTCAGCATCTGCACATTACAAAATAAAAGTCCGCAGCATCAAGTTGTGATATTTATATAGGTATAAAAATGCATCAATTTTTTAATTGCAAGTCAGTATATCATATCACCCTAAATGAAAATAACATATCCATACAACATTTATAAATCTTTGGGTTAATGAAGTACAGCCTTTTTTTTTGTGAATGTACAAATAACATCATCCATGTTTGAACCTAAGAAGACCTCATGCAAACTGCCCAAATCCCCAACAACTAGCGATACCTTAAGAGAGTTTCAAAGTTGAACTTATTAGTATTATCTTTGAACAAAAACCAAACACAAATTGCCATCCTGGTTTAACCCCTGGATGAAAAGAAAAACCAGTTCATATTTGAAAAAAATATAAAATTTTGTATGATAATCTTGAAATAGTAAGAAGCCAATGATTGATATTTTAAATCCCATCAAGAGAAGAAGAGATCCACTGAGTTCCAATTCACATACCTGCTTTTCAGTATCATCATGGTCAAGATGTGACAAGTAAATAAGAGTCTCCCTCATAATCTGCATAATTGATCTAACTTTGATTAATCCCATAATATGATGACAGAAATCTCTCAAATTCAAGTTTAATCATCTAATGAAACATAATATTGATAGGTAAACAGCCTCAAACATAATATTAGAAATTAAAATCTGGTGAAGGTCAGATTTCTGCTTCTTACCTTGTATTGGACAAGAACAGCATTGTCTTTCATTGTTTCCCGCACTATATTCCCATTTTCATCTTCAACTATGAGAACCTCCTCGGGTTTCACCATACGACAAATCATAAGCATTCTCAACTTTGACATTGGACCAGCATAAAGTTGCCGGCGCTGAAGAAGCTGTGAACCAATGCCATCAACCATACCAGGGACCTGCTTTCCATTGAGAAACATATAATCATCACCTTCACCATTCTCAGAAAGATGAAAACAGAAGTATATAATGATCACAAGATGCACAAGGAAAATAATTGAAATTTAAAATTGAACAAATATACACCTTTTGAAAACCATCAGACAATGTATATTCCAAAATAATTATTGATGGGTTTAAACCAACTGATCCTAGCTATATCTTGTAAATAAATATCTCAGATCTCAAAATACATACAGCAATGGGAAGACAATGCCCAGAATTAAGTAGACGATGCCCAGAATTAAGTACCAAACACACAACAAACGATGTTACAGCCATGAATAACAATAGTACAGCAATCCTCAATGTTCATCACAAAACTATACAAAGCACACAAAAAAGACAGGATCCTATTTTGCTATACAAGTTATTTACAAGGGAAAAGTGAATTGCCAGTTCTTGATTTTAACAATCACAATCAAGGTATGAGCAAACACCAAAAGAGACAGTACCTGGAGTCCTATCATGGCTGATGCTGTTGCTGCAGGGTTCTCCAAACTACGGTGTGGCTCAAACAGTTCTGCAACCAAGATATTCCAGTAGTCCAGACAGACCTGATATTTTTCAGAAAATAAGTACAAATTAAATTCTTTTACGTTTCAGACCACTAAGATAGAATGCTTTTAGGGGTGGGGAGGAAGAGAGGTCTGTCAGGCAAACTCAAGAATGAAAAACTAGTTTGAGCAATCACAACATAAGTATGCAACGGGAAGATATATATGTAATTATCATCATACCTTAAAAACCTCAGTATCATCCACATACGAGATGTTGATGAGATACTCAAGACCCAATAGCAAAGCAGATATATTCTCTTGAGTGGATTCCAGAATTTGAATATGAACCTGTATAAGTGAATGGTATCACCACACCACTATTATTTTTAATAAAGACTTGAAAACATCAAACAAACAAAATTAATAAAGAAAATATACAGGGAAATTTAGGCCCAACAGTTCATGATGCAGAACCATGGGTCCATACTCGATGTGCCAAAAGCATGATATCACACGTTCTTTCTCCGTTTCTCATTATGTTTCATAAATATAAACCTGCCTTGTAATCACAGATAACATAAAACTAAAATTAACCTGCCTTGTAAAATGAGGTGAAGAACAGTGCCACATTCTGTATAAATGCCTAAAAAGGGGGGGAAACTGTCAGATGCTTCACAAATAATTTTAGTGGAAAATCAGGCTTCTTTGCTTACAGTCAAATTACAGAGACTTACTTGTTCCTCACTTGAACCATGTGAATATGCCTCAGGTATATTAGTAGTGGGCGGAAGTATGGTCTGCATTAAACATAACATTATCCAAGAATCTATGAAAGAAATTATGACATAATCAAAATAGAGAAAAATAGACACGGGAATCTGGTGAAGCAAATAGGCAAAATACAATGGAACAGAAACTTATAATTAAAACACACCTGCAACTGAACCAAGAATATGTTATACATCTTAATATGAGCATCATAGTAATTCCGAAATTGAAGGGCTGCCACCTGTGAACATTATTAAAAGATAATAATATTGATCTTGAAAGTTTCAGGTAAAATCATAAGCACATAGAGGATGGAGAATACCTCAGTTAAACATTGCAATGTCAGGTTCCGATATGCAGGAATTGGGAAAAATTTTAGTAGCGTCTCGAGCTGTAATGAACATACAACCAAAAGATTTCAGAATTCCTCCTTTACAGTGTTAATTAAGATGGAAACTGACCTACCAATGGTGATTCAAATATATAGCCCAAAGGAATCCATGATAGAAAGGCATGCAACGTAGACAGTGTTGCACGAATGAGCTCAGTTCTTTGGGACACCGATAACACATATAAGCACAACTCATGTATGAGCTGAAATTCACTGCAAACAACCACATAATTCTTAGCAATATGTAGGCACTGCAATCCTTACTAACTCGTTAAATGAACAACTAGAGCCAGAAAACTAATAATTGATACCCAGCAATGAGACATCACTTTCAGCTATAAACTAACACAAAAGAGAATGCCATCCACTGTAAGAAAGAGATATGTCCTTTCTTGATAAATGTATTTGTGCAATTCCTTAATAAATAGTTTAGCTCTCAGTATCGTCACTTTCAAACAACTATAACTGATATCCATCTCATCATAAGCTTTGGCTCTATATCTATATTCTGTAACAAGCTTATCTTCTAGACATTTCAATAAAAACTTCAGTCGTTTTGACTTTTCTAGACATTTCAATTCAGAATTCTCTCATTCGATTAATTTATTATTAAGGTCAACCATAATGGTATGTCCATCCATGAACCAAAAAAATTGCCAGATCCCCAAAGTTAAAAGACAGAGAAATTGAAACAGCCTCCAAAAAAAATCAAGTTGTAAGTTTCTCTGTAGACAGGGGCATTCACCATTACCTATTTAATGATTGTTTAAGATCTTTTATCTTCTGCTGAGTCATCTCTCCTCTTGAAAAATCAAAAACTTCTTCACTCAAGAGCTGAAAGAACATTTGTAATGTTACTCATTGATTAAAAGAACCACTTTTTAATGGAAGTAAGGGTAAACTTACCTTCAATATTGCCATACAATTCTCACAAATTGTTTCACTAGTTTTAGCTGCTGATACAAGGTCAGGAATGAAGCTTCTCCATCTCACTGGCCATTCATGCTTCAAAATCTGTGCATGCAGGATTTTTTTGAGCACAAATGCATATGTAGTAAACCAAACAGAAAAAGAATGCCCTCAAAGTGTGCAACAGAATAATTAAGTGAAAGGTAAAACCTACATAACAATTAGAAAAACAGAGGAAAACTAGAAAATGTATAAATTTTAACTAGGTAAATAAAATGAATGCACTGCACAACTGGATGAGAATAACATGAATAATCAATTGAGTAATATAATATCATTATAATATTACTTTTACCTGAACTAATATAATATTGAGTTTGTTGACATACAACCGCTCTGTTCGAAATGATGCTTCAACACGAGAAAGCTGTACAAATAAAGGGTCAGTAAAGAAGACAGCAGATGCAGAAAGACTATACGCATACAAATCAATACAAGTGTCACTAGCTCTAGTCTCTGCTTTCTACAGATGCGGATGATACCTGTACAATAACATCAGAGATGAAATTTTTCATTCCATCTCGCTGCTCTGCAGGTAATGCATTCCATCTATATTTAATTACACCTTCTAGAACCTGTATATTTAAGCACAGAGAAAACAAATATAAGAAAACCTTAGAATAGAATTATATTAACAATTGAGAATTTGTTTGACACATAATAATGTTGCCTCAAAGGGCACTAAACTCTAAACCGAACTATAAGCACATCAAATGCAGAAGTCAAGGTGAAAAAGTGTAAATATACACACACTCCCTTAAAGTAAAAATACTCTAAAGTAATTTTAGCTTGAAATACTTCCACTCAAATATTGATTAGCTACAAGTGAAACAACTAATTATGTCCTTTAAAGTAAGCATGGGACCAAATTTGATTTAATGCTAATAGGGACTCAATCTAGCACACACTCCCTGATTCATAAGAAATATGCACTATAAATAATGGTAAATAATAGCTCTATTTTTTTCCAATGGTGAATTTATAATAGTTTTTATTTACATATATAATCGATAGTAGTAGTTATCTAGCACTGGTTACAAAATGACATTTGAAGCTAGAGTTATCAATCCCAAAGGGTGGGATGGAACTGCTTACCCAAAACTGCCCCTACAATGTCAATCATATATATATATATATATGGATAAATGTTTACAAAATGGTCAAATTTAAAGATATATTAAGAACTAACAGTGATAAATCAAAATATACAAACAAATTACCATAAATCTAAGGAATAACTAACTAGGAAATGACAACAGAAGCTGAAGAACAAGGGGGTTTATATTTTGACACATAAATTGATGGCATCAATTGAAAAATAAAAGGAGAAGATGTTGTCATCACAAGAGAAGAAACTAGAGGGCTATGGCTTAAAAAACATAGGAAAAAGGCAACGAGAGCAGCAAACTGTAAAGGTATGTGTACAAACTACAGCAAAAAACAACAAGAACAGAGGCCTGCAACAAATACAGAGAGTGGACTCAACTGAGACCAGTCTGAAGGGTGAATGAAAACAATGTTTAAGCATACCAGTGGCGAACAGAGAAAGGTGTCGAGCAGTGGATCAGAAAATGCCATGCATGAGCAGAAACTACACTAGCAAGTAATGGGATTGGGTCAAAGTTCGAAGCAGACTTAACAATATCAACTTTTCAACTGTTTTTGCATGAATCATCAAAACAAAGAAGTGTCTCAAACATGTACTACTGCATTTAATGCCATAAAGCTCAGGAAAATCATGAGCATTGAAAAAGACATGGGTTGGTAAACTCAGAAAATAAGATGTTTAGCAGGCATGTTCCACTGCAAAAGCAAACAGATTTTTCAGTATTAACAGCTGAAAATTTGGTTGCAACAACCAAAGTGCAATGAGACAGATCTATAACATCACTACAGCTCGTAACAAATGACCATGGTTTAAGCCCTAAACTTTTTGCAGGAATGAACTCAATGGAAATCCCAAACGCATAGTTAGACAACATTAGACTATCATAATCACATTCATGAATTATATCTTAAGAATTTTATTAGCCTATTCCTCATATGTTTCAAGTCTTGACAGCATGTGTTAGTCTTAAACGATCTTTCGCAATCTACTCTACCCTCTCACGTTATACAAATGTCTGTACACCTTATTCTAAATACACTAGATTAAACAATAAAACAACTACAGGAGTAAACTCAAATATCCAAATATAAATCTTCAATTCCTTTAAACACAAAATTTAAGGACCTTTCAAGATGCCCAAATAATCACAAATACAGGACACAACCGAAAAGAGTACACTAAGGAATAGGAACCAGAAACAGCTCCATAACACACATTACATCCATATCCATAAGACAAATACAGGAATCATGAATTGCCAAATAAATACACCTTACAATAATGCATGAGCCTGTTTCATTCCCTTTTCACCTTTTTGTTTTGAAAACTGTTTTCTGAAACAACTTCCATACTACTCAAATCAATTTCTCCAAAATCTATCATGCTTTCAAAATTATTTTCAAACAATTTTAAAGAACTAGAAAACAGAAACAGCTAAGAAATATTTGTTAATTATCTTCCGTTTTCTTCAAGTGCTCAGGAAAAACTTTTGTAAAAGAGAAATGCACTTAGGGGATAAACACTTCTGAATGTGCTCAGGGACAACCAAATTTTAGAAAACAAACTGCTTTTGATAATATAAACAATCGAGGTCATAGTTTATTGTTTTCTTAAAGCGTTACAATGGTGCCTAAGGGAATCACCAACTGCCAACAAAAATAGAGCTACTTAACTCCTGATTGGTGGACCATATTATGCAGTGTCCGCTTAATAATAATTTTTCACTTCAACTCAACAGCCATCAAAAGCTTGGCATGGGGGTTGCAGGAGGCTGGGAGTTGTTTTTAGGGAGTTGGATGCTGAAAATGTTTACAAGTTTAAGAGAAAGGAAAGCAACAGAAATATTAAGTTCAATGAACAACATCAGCACTGCGTGTAACTTCCATTATCTGGGATTTTCCATAACTCAACCTTGTTGGGTTTGTAGTCAACATAGTGATGCTTTTGTATACCTATTTTCATTAAAAAGAACAAATATTTAAATAGTCTTAATTCTCAATAGCGTAAAAGATGAGATAGTCCCTTTTGCTCGTTCCATTCTGATAACTTCAATATTCGTGGGTCGCTACATCTCATAATTTCGCTCATTTTTTATTCACAAGTAACCATCATTGTTTGTATGAGCAAACATATTGTTTGCATGTGGCAGCCATGTCTGTGGACTCCAACAGTGAACTGTGCTTAAATTCAAGAACTCGACAAGTAACATTTGATCTAGATGCTTTAATAAGGTATGTCAATGGATCAGATTCCTCTATAAAAACAAATGTACTTATTTCCGAATAATCAGTTGGGCATTGCAGTATAATTTAAGGTACTATGTTCCTGGATTTCAATCGCAGAATAATTCTGTTGATTCCATCAAATGGTATAATAACTAAAAAGTTTGAGTCGCTTCGTAGGACAGGAAAGTGTTACGAATGAAAAATAATATTAACTATTTACCCCACGGAATGGATCATCAAACAATCTAACCTGCAAGGCAAAGAACTTGGTATTTAGGCTTTGAGTGTTCTGTAAAATGTGCATGACTTGGAGCCACATCTCAGGGTTATTTTGCAAATCGCGCAAAATCTGGTCAGCAGCAGTTCTCTGCATGATTATAATATCAATAATTTGTTACTTAAAAATCCAAAAATTAAGCATATAAAAGCATAACAAATAGCATGTTCTCTACATTGACATCACTACCAAGACTTTTATTTCCCGAGTCCACCTGAGTGACCAAGTCAGTACCTCTAGAATGTGCAATTGCGAGAACCGAAAACAATTTCATAGTTAAAAGTTAAAAATAATAACTCCGTATAGCTTAGAGAGTGATAAACCCCTAAGCGCGTAAGTGAGTTCTGTACGGTATCACTGTTTTCACACATTGAGAGACGCGGAGAGGCGTTAAAGGAGTAGAAGTTTGGAAAAGCAAAATGGTGAGTGGCGATGAAAAGAGAATGTGACAGTGAAGCAGAAATAGGTGAATTGGGGAGAATGTTGAATCGTGGAGGCGTAAGCGAGAAGGGAAAGAGTGAGAAAAATAGTAAAAATGTAGAAGAAGCGTGACCTGTTCCTTGGATCCGGTGCCATAGAAGGCAGCGACGGTGGCATCGAGTAAAGGCACATCAATAGGTCGACTCAAATCCCTGAGCTTCTCCGCGGCCATGGGAGTGAAGAATAAACCCTAAAATCTTAGGGAGAAGGAAACGGAAGAAGAGAGAAAAATTTGCTGTGAAATATTTGATTTGAGAAAAGAGAAAGAGGGAGGGAGAGGGAGTTTGGACTTTGTACGTTATATATTGAGCTTGAACCCATATAACAGCTTGAATTTGAAGCAGAGTTGGAAATTTCGGGAAGTTTTCATTTTTTTATTGTTATTATGTGATATTCTTCTGTTATTTTATCGTTGGAAGAGAGATGCAAACACCAAGTTTAATGCTAGAGAATGTCAAACAGTATTGTTTTATTTATCTGAATCTTTAAAATAATAAAGTTTGAAAAAATATAGAAATAAAAAATTTTATTCATTTTAATCAAAAATTTAAAAAATAAACTAAATGACAATTTATCATATTTTCAAATATTATTAATATTTCACTTTCAAAAACTAATGTACAGGTCTCATTCACTAGAAAAACCAATCAGTGGTTTTCCAATAAACACTTACGTTGACAAATGAATAAAAAATTCATTAAATCATGAATTTTGATTTTCATAATTTATTTATGATTTACATGGAATTATTTTTGTAATTATGGGTACTATCACTGTTTGAAAATAATTTATCCTAATTATTAAATTGATATTATCTTAATGACTAATGGATTGATTAGTATATCATTATATGTTAAAAAATAATCACTATACTACTCGTTTACTCTTATATTAGTAAAAAATTATTTTCTTCAATATTCTGCTAATATTTGGTAATAAGTATTTTTCCACAGTTTCGTTAGTAATTAATAATAAATATTAAATTCCATTAATAATAATAAAAAACATAATAAAACTTAAATACTTTATGGTGATATTAATGTTTAATTAAAATATTTAGTTTTATTAACAAGTAATATGTTACCTAACTAATAAACAAACAGGCTAGGATATTTTTTTGACAGTTGTCCAATATTAAATCTTAAAATAAAATGTTGAAAATAATATGAATTGAAACTTAGGTTTGTTTCCAATAATGTAGAAATGCTTAATTATTTATAAAATTCACATATAGGTTTAGTAAGTATCATTTGAAAATGATTTTGTTATAGTTTTTAGACTCATAAGATTTTAGCACATAGTTTTAAGTGTGTTTTCAATCGTGCATGACTTTGGTAAATTATATTTGTATTAGTAAGACAGTGTGTATGACTTAAAATTTCTGATGTAATAGTTATTAAGGATCTGAGCCACTCTATTATTTATTAAATAATAATTCAAATTAAATCAATTTGATGTTTTTTTTTTCAATTTATTTGAAACAATTTTGTATTCTTATTATTATAAAATTGTTAAATTTGTTTATAAAAAAATATAATTTAAAAAATGAGACAACATATATAGAATGGTGATACATTATCTCTTTTAGTGCCTTTTTCATACTTCTGTAAGTTCTATCAGCACTCCCTTTGAGAAAATACGAGACATTCTAGGGCGTTTAACCACACTTCTATGAAAGAATTTCTGATATATTTCACATAGATGCTTGTTATTAGCTAGGCTAAAAGGCCACCAAACCATGTATTATTTTAATGTAAAGTACACAAACAAACTCCAAACTGAGTGTTTTTTTTGTTCGTTACAACCTCCAGCAAGTTTGAAAATTGGTACATAATAATAATGAAACAATATAGTAGGCATGGGGTGTTGTTATATGGCGACACTGTGGAGAACGACAGTCTCAATGGTAAGGCCAGGTCCAAAGCCAAACAAGACGCCCCATTCAAGTCCTTCACCAGTGGTTTGAAGTCCATTTTCAGCTGATTTCCTCCTCATCTCATCCAAGATGAAAAGCACACATGCACTTGACATGTTCCCATACTCACTAAGCACATCTCTAGTGGCCTTCATCTTTTCAGGTTTCAGACCAACCTTTTCCTCAACTTGGTCAAGAATTGCAGGCCCACCAGGGTGTGCAATCCAGAAGATGGAGTTGTAATCAGAGATGTTCAACGGGTTGAAGGCCTCTGAGAGTGCCTTCCCAATGTTCTTTGACACAATCCCAGGAACATCCTTAAGCAGGTGAAACGTCAGTCCAACTTCACGAAGGTGCCCATCAATAGCACCATCGCTGTCTGGAGCAATGGTCTGTGCAGTCCAAACCAGCTCGAACAGAGGCTTCTCAATCTGTGGAATTGGGTCAGAACCAACAATCACTGCAGCTGCTCCATCTCCAAACAGTGCCTGTCCCACAAGACTGTCCAGGTGACTCTCACTTGGCCCACGGAATGTGACTGCAGTGATCTCAGAACACACAACAAGCACACGCGCACCCCTGTTGTTCTCGGCCAAATCCTTTGCCAACCGAAGAACCGTGCCACCTGCGAAGCACCCTTGTTGGTACATCATGTACCTCTTCACGTAGGGGCGAAGTCCCAAGAGTTTGGTGAGTTGGTAATCACAACCAGGCATGTCCACACCACTGGTGGTGCAAAAGATCAAGTGTGTGATCTTGGACTTTGGCTGCCCCCACTCTTTTATTGCCTTCACTGCAGCCTCTTTCCCCAGCTTTGGTACCTCCACCACCACCATGTCTTGTCTGGCATCCAAAGAAGGTGCCATGTAAGCACACATGTTAGGGTTCTCCTTCAAGAGCTCCTCGGTTAGGTGCATGTATCTCTTCTTGATCATGGACTTGTCGCCTGAAATGTTGCAAATCAATGGAAAAAATTCAACACCAGAGAGAGTAAATTATAGAAAGCATGGAGGATGTGTAGGGTAAAATGGAGGAAAAGAAGAAGAGAGAACATACACATGCGCTGGAATTTCTCTTTGAGCTCGGTCATGTGCTCACTGTTAGTGATTCTGAAGTAGTAATCGGGATAGGTGCTCTGATCAACACAGTTTGGTGGGGTTGCAGTTCCAATGGCAAGGATGGTTGCGGGGCCTTCTGCCCTTTGAGCCTGGCGGATCTCAGATACACTCACCATCTTGGTTTCCTTTTAGAAGGTAATAAACCGGTGACGATGGTTATGCCAAATGAAGCACTGCGACTTTGATTGATGGATGAGAACTCACCAAGTCACAGTACTTTTGCTGGTAGTGAAGTTGTGTTTGAAGATATTGGAGGAGGTAGCATTTTATATGTATGTAAGGGTGGATAGGAATTGGGGTAGGTGAGCATCACGTGCATGACCAATAGCAAATAGATTTCCGGCACAGCCTACCATGTCTGCCTACTAGTTTGTGAACTGAGTTTGGTGGCATGTTTTTGAAGACCATCTCTACCCCCATTTAATTAATTAGTTCATTCATTAATTTTTAAATTTTCTAACCAATAGTTGATGATATTTTATGCATTTTTGCCCTATAATTTTATCACAGCTAAGTTCATTGAGCATTGCTGTGGAATGAGATGTATTTATGCTCCTACCATCCATTAAACAAATATGTATAGTTGGTTGACTTTTTTTAAAGTTAAGTTAATTCACGTAACTGGCAAGTGAACTAATGTGCATACAGCATAGGTTTATAAATTGTATGAAATATTAGTTAGCTCCAATACTTTCATATTACTGATGTTTAGGTTGTAGAGTTTTTAATATCATGTAACAAACCTAGTTTTGAAGGACTTGTTTTTCGTTTTAGTTTGAAATGTTCTTGTTGTAATTTTCGGTGTGACTAAGGATGTTTGAATTTTATTATTTTTGATAGAAAAGATAAAGAAATTTCAGTTTTAAACTATTCCTAAATACAAAATACGCACACTTTCATTATTCTAATATTCTTTAAAGTTAGTTTGAGTCAACCATGGTATGGTGTTGGTATGTAGCATGTGGAATGATATCAACGGCCACAATCGAAGGAATATGAAATGTACGGGTAGAAAGGCGCCACGTCATCAGACATGACTATCCAGTTTTTGGATCTTGCACTACTTCTTCATTTTTTTTATTATTTTATTTTGTATATTTTCTACTTCCTTGGTCTTGTTGAATTCTAAGCCCATAAAAAAATGTGGGCACTGATTTATTTTAAATTAAATTTCAAAGTGAGTGGTTGATTTGAAGGGTCAAGGGATTGGAGCTACCTACCCATTTTCTACGGAAAAGCATTTTTATTTTGCTTGGTGATATTTTTTTATAATTAATTTTTGGATAACATTCTCTCCATGGAACGTCTTATTTGAATTTGATCTAAAGAAATAAGAAAGATGCTTCTCAGAAGCAAGCTTATTAGTTAATCATGGGATCATTATTTAAGTGATTCAGCAAATGAACAAAATTTATTAGTAATTCATATTATTGAAATATGTGAATATATAATTACTTCCGACATTTGCTTGGTTATAATTGTTGGATTATATTTAAAAATTTATAACTTTAAATATAGATATATTTCCTAGTATGTTCATGTTTGGTGGTGCAATTTTGTATTTAACATGTGATATATATGAAATTTATTTTTAAACAAATTATGCCTTTTAATAAGGAATAGTTTTTGCTTGTTATCGTCCTCTAAGTTTAAAACTGGCATCACTCTTTACTTTAATACATTTTTTTTTCTTTTCTAAATTTGAAATATCTAACTATTTTACCATGTTTTAATAAAAATCCAACATAAAGAAGGGAAAAAATGAAATATATTAATTAAAAGCCCTCAATTTGCTTTGTTATATATATATATATATATATATATATATATATATATATATATATATATATATATATATATATATATAGAACAGCATAATTTATTAAATATTGGCTAATGTAATATATATATATATATATATATATATATATATATAATCATTATATTGATTAAATTGTAAATTATTTTAATTAAATTTATTTCTAACTTAAAATTTAAATTGATCTTTCACCTTAACTATACTAAGATTTTAACTACCAATTGAAAAATAGATCAATTTATATTTAAAATTATTTAGAGTCTAATTAAAAATAAATTATAATTATAATTTAAAAATCAGTTTAATTAAAATAGTTTTTA